AGGCTTTCAGGGGAGGCTGTTGATGCAATGTACAGAGCCTAGTTTCAGTCAGTGATCTGGGGCCAAGCACTTGAATTCTTGGAGACTCAGTTTCCCCTTCCATAAAAGGGGGATAATAAGATCTGACCTTACCAGGCTGTATGTTTTCACTGATGTCTGAGAGATTGTGTGTTGGGTGCCGGGCTGAGGGCTTTACCACCTCTGCTCCTTCTGGCCCCCTTGAGAGGGTTGGACTGGGCCCGGACTCAGCCTCTATCATGCCAGAGTCACAGTCCAGCCAGGCCAGAGCTTCTCCCAGCCCCCAGCATGGTGTCTAACCTTCACCCTACCTGGGGTGCCATAAGCTCCAGGGAGCCCCCTGTGAAACTCCTGTCCTCCCAGGCAGGACAGCCCCCATGCCCCTCCCGGACACCCTGCGTCCTGACTCGCTGCTGAAGATGACCTTGGGGGGCGTGACCCTGACCTTGCTTCAGACTTCTGCCCCACCTCCTGGACCACCTGACCTCACCACCCACTTTTTTACGGAGTTTGATGCCACCAAGGAGGGGCCCTTTGGTTCCCGAGACTTCCACCATCTGCGACCACGCTTCCAGAGGGCCTGCCCCTGCAGCCATGTCCGGTACGAGCTGAGGCCGGGGACTGAGGAGAGACTCCTGGAGCCCCTGAGTGCACCCTCTGATGTCCAACTTCTCCCCTGCAGGCTAACGGGCGCAGCCGTGCAGGTGTCCTGGGAGCTGCGAACAGGCAGGGGCCGGCGGACCACCAGCACAGAAGTGCACTTCGGGCAGCTTGAAGTGCTAGAATGTCTGTGGCCCAGGGGTGCTCCCAAGCCTGAGTACACAGAGGTGAAGGCTCAGGGCAGGTGCGGGCCTGTAGGTTCAGATGGGCATGGGCTGCAGCCTGACCCTTTCACTTCCTGTGGCCCATCCCAGATCCTGAGCTTCCCCAGCAGCCTGGGCTCCCAGGCCTCAGCTCGGCCCTGTGCCCACCTGCGCCACACGCAGACGCTGCGCCGTGTGTCCAAGGTAACCCCATCCTCCAGGCCCCAGGTCCCCGGCTGTTCGCCATGGTGCTTTGATGTCCCTGTGCCAGCCTCCCTGGTGCCCCCTGCTTCTGCCCTCCACCCTCCTTACCTGCATTCTGGGTAGAGCACACCTGCCCATCTGGGAGGCTCAAGTGTAGTTGGGCCCAGTACCTGCCTTCTTTAAGCCTGACTGAGTTCCTCATAGCAAACCCCTGCTGGCCTCCAAGCTGGGAGTGGCAGGATTTGGGTGGCTTTTGTTAAGCAAGCATGGTTGTCTGCCTGAGCAGGGTAGTGAGGGTCTCCCTGTTCCCTCCTGGGTCCCCTTCCCCAGTTCTTTTCCCCACCACCCAGGAGGGCTCTGTGTTCTGTTTGCTCAAGGGGGTCCCCTCCCGTCCTGCCTTCACCCTGTCCCCTGGCCCCCAGAGCCGACCCCGTCGCCCAGCTGCCTGCCACTGTCACTCAGAACTGGCCCTGGACCTGGCCGACTTCCAGGCAGATGTGGAGCTAGGGGCCCTGGACCGGCTTGCTGCCCTGCTACACCTGGCCACCGTACCCTCCCCTGAGCTACCTGCTGGCCTGCTGGTAAGATGCCCAGCTGGGGCAGGGTGTGGAGCCTGAATCTCCTAGCTTTTAACCAGAGGTGGGGGGCCTTGGCGCCAGATCTAACCTCCCAACCCCCACAGACAGAGACCCCACCAGCAACTGAGCAGCAGACAGTGGTGCAGCTCTCGGCGCCCCGGGCCACCCTGCAGCTGTGCTTCCCCATTGCTGACCTGCGGCCTGAGCGGGACCCCTGGGCGGGCCAGGCTGTGCGGACTGAGCATCTGCTGCTGGAGCTGAGTGAGCCCCAGTTCCAGTTGCAGCTGAGCAGTGGGCCTGGCCCCCCAGCCCCCACCCGCTTGGAACTTACCTGTTCTGACCTACATGGTGAGAGCCCCTGGGAAACCACACCCGGCTCAGGGGGCTCTGGCCTATAGAGGTGGGCTTGAGGCTATGGAAGGGGCCCTGGCCTCACCAGCTCTGTGGGGTGCCAGCATTACCTGCCCCTGGGCTCCTCTGGGCAGTGGACAGAGTGGACCTTTTGCCCCTGGGCTGCTGCAGACTGTGGGCGTGAGGGAGGGCTGAAGTCTGCAGACTGGAAACAACAGGCTCCAGCCCCCTGTCCCACCTTGCACCAGGGAAGAAATGGGGAAAGGCAGCAGTGACAACCCCTCACCCCTCCTCACCCCCTCCAGGCTCCTACGAAGATGGAGAGAAGCCACCAGTTGCCTGCCTACGGGTTTCCAAAGCCCTGGATCCCAAGAGCCCTGGGCACAAATACTTTCTGCCCCAGTAAGTGGAGCTGTGGACAGGGCTTTGCTACTGAGGGTGGTCGGAGGCCATTAGATCAGGGGTCGGGGGTTGATGACCGGCCTGTGCCTCGGCAGGGTAGTGGTGACCCTGAACCCCCAGCTCAGCAGCACACAGTGGGAGGTGGCCCCAGAGAAGGGAGAGGAGCTGGAGATGTCGGCTGAGAGTCCATGCGAGCTGCAGGAGCCCGAGCCCTCGCCCTTCTCCTCCAAGAGGACCATGTACGAGACAGAGGAGGTGAGATCCCAGACCCCTTGGGTCTCATGGAAGCCACTTGGCGGGTATAGACTGGGGAGACCAACGAGGATTTCATTCTTCCATCATCTTGGGTCAATGGGATCAGAAGCACCCCAGCCTGCAGGGCCCGTAATTGAGGACACTAGTGGGGACAACTCCCAGGGGCTTGAGCCCTCTTTTGGGAAGATCAGGACCCTATCCCATCAGCCACTCAGCAGCTGCGTACATTCATCAGGACCCTCTCACTGAAGGTGATGAGGGTTGAGTGAGAGGCAGTGCGGAGCCCGGCCTCTGGGTCCAATGGCCTGGTTCAGATGCAGACCCTGCCACCCAGTGGCTGAGCCATCTTGGGGATTGCCTGACCTTGGAGGGTTAACTACAGATGAGTTTCCTCATCTGGAAAGGGGGCACAGTGACCTGTCTCACAGTGTGTTGTAAGGATAGAGACGTTAACACAAGAGGCCCTCAGAGCAGGGTGGCCGGGGGTCAGTGCTTCACACCAGATGACCGTCGTATGTCCCAGCAGAGTAGGGTTCATGTGAATGAATGAATGAGAATGAGTGAGTGAGAGGAAGTCAGAATGCAGACCTGGGCCTGATCCCCAAGCCCCAGCAGGCCCTCACGTCTTCCCACCTGCCCAGATGGTGATTCCTGGAGACCCTGAGGAGATGAGGGCCTTCCAGGGCCGGGCCCTCGCACTGTCACGCTGCAGCCTGGAAGTGCTCCTGCCCAGCACCCATGTCTTCCTGCCCAGCAAGGAGGTCTACGAGAGCCTCTACAACAGGTGACGACACAGGCCAGAGGGGGGTGGCCAGGGGCCTGGACGGGCCACCCTCACCACCCTGTGCATCTGCCCATCCCAGGATCAACAATGACCTGCTCATGTGGGAGCCTGCAGACCTGCTGCCCCCCCCTGCCCCCACAGCTCACCCCCAGAGCTTCCAGGGCCCCTCAGGCTTCTGGCAGGACAACTTCAAGATGTGCAAGTCGGCCTTCAAGCTGGGTAGGAGGGGCCCCCCTGGCAGGGCCCCCGGCATCCCCAGAGCGGGCAGGGTCGGGGTAGCCCTCCCAGGCCTCCTTCCCACTCGGCTTCTTGGTCTCACCCCAGACTCAGACTCGGACGATGAGGATGCCCACTTCTTCTCAGTAGGGGCATCGGGCACCCCCCAACCCCGTGCCCCCAAGCCCCCAGGCCCTCAGTCCCAGAGTACCTTCTCTACACTGGTGACAGTGCTGAAGGGTCGGATCACAGCTCTCTGTGAGACCAAGGTGAGGGCAGCCTGGGGGAGGTGAGCCCCTCTCCCCAGCCCCCATTGTCAGGAAAACAAACTAGTGTGAGCAGCTCCAAGTTGTGGGAAGGTGGGAAACAGAGGCCTCAGTGGGACTGAGTGTGGCCTCTACAGCCAGCAGCACCCACCCACCACCCACTCACCCATCCGTGTCACACTGTCCCCACCCCATTGCACCCTGTCAGCCACTTACCAGTGCCTGCTCGATCCAAGGCACCATCTGTACTGGAGCAGACAGGGCAGGGGTGACTTCCTCTGCAATAGTGAGCAGTGCTGCCCAGGTCTCCAGTGGAGTGGGTCAAGGCCAGAGCTGATCCACATCAGGCCAGGGCTCCAGGAGGCCCCCTTGTCCCTGAGGGTGTGGGGGCGGCTGCGTGCAGCCAGTAAAGCCAAACCCCGTGCTCTGTTGGCAGGATGAGGGTGGGAAGCGGCTAGAGGCCGTGCATGGGGAGCTGGTGCTGGACGTAGAGCAAGGCACCATCTTCAGCGTCTCCCGGTACCGAGGCCAGCCCGGACTTGGCTACTTCTGCCTGGAAGCTGAAAAGGCAGCGCTCTTCCACCGAGGTGTGAGGGCTGGGGGCCAGTCGCCGAGGGCTCTCTAGGGTCCCTGGACAGGGGCAGGGCTTTCAGGAGGGGTGTGGGCCCTGGGTGGAGTGGGTGACTGGCCAGCTTGGCAAGGGGCTCACCCGATGCCTCCTCAGCGGTGGTGGATGACTGCCTGCTGCCCAGCCACCTGGAGCTGCCCAGCTTTGCTCCTCCAGCCCAGCTAGCCCCAACCATCTACCCATCGGAGGAAGGAGTGACCGAATGGGGAGCCTCAGGCCACAAGGGCCAAGGCGGGGGCCCCCACATGCTGTCCACAGCCGTTCGTATCCACCTGGACCCCCACAAGAATGTCAAGGTATGGTGCCTGCTTCTGGCCCACCCACTTGGCTGGACGGCTGCTGCTCTGGCGCACAGTGGGCTGGCTCCAATTGCGCTCACTGTCCCACCCCCAGGAGTTCCTGGTGACACTGCGGCTGCAGAGAGCCACCTTGCGCCACTACATGTCCCTGCCAGAACAGAGCTGGCACTCCCAGGTAAGCAACGGTGCTGTAGGCGGGCAGGTGTCTAGACAGAGAAGGCCAGTGGGAGGGGCACGGGCTGGGCTCCAGCTGACCTCAGGCTGGAGCTGATCCTAGTGGAGCCCCTGGGCAAGGGGGTGTGATGGGCAGCAAGTGGGGAGCTGCGCTAGGGTGGGGGTGTTAGAGGAGGGAAGAGGCCCCTCATCCTCACTGCCACTCCCACCTTGGCCCCCAAAGCTGTCAGAGTTCTTGGATGTGCTGGATGACCCGGTGCTGGGCTATCTGCCCCCTGCTGTCATCACGGTCCTACACACACACCTGTTCTCCTGCGCCGTGGATTACAGGTATCTGGACTGGGAGGGCTGGGGGCCAGGGGCTGGGGGCAGGCTCTCACGTGCAAGGAGCCTGCCCAAGCGCAAATGTGACCCCCAGGCCCCTCTACCTCCCTGTACGTGTCCTCCTCACCGCTGAGAGCTTCACCCTCTCCAGCAACATCATCATGGACACCTCCACCTTCCTGCTGAGGTATGCAGCACCCCCGTCCTGCCACCAAACTGAGTCCGGGGTTCCCCCAGAGTCCTGCCTACCTGCTGTGTGTTCCCAGGCCACTCTCTGAGCCTTTCTTTAAATTTGGGTGCTGATCCCTCCCTCAAAAAGGGGAATTGGTTCCACCTTCCATGGAGCAGTCAGACTCCTGAACCAGAGCCTTGAAGGTGTTGATGCTCTCTGACCTGATAATCCTGCTTCTGGTGGTTGTCGTAGGAATGTAAGGATAAAAAAGGTAGAATAAAATGCTTCATAGTGAATTCAAAACAGTCAAAACTTAAAATCTAAGTGCCCCCAAATTACAATTTGAGTCAGTAAACATGGCCCATCCAACCAGTAAAGTCAAGTTGGAAAGTATAACATTGAAAAAATGGGGTAATGCCATAGTACAATATTTACCTAAAAAATAAAAAAGATATAAAACTAAGTATGTGTAAAAAAAACGAAGATTTATGAGGGAGTATTTATATACATCTCTATGTGGCTTCATAGAAAAGACGGGAAGAAATTATATATGGTGCTTTTCTCAGAATTGAGGGTTAGGGATTATTTTTTATTGCTGTATGTTTTAGGCATCTTAAAGGAGCTTGTATTATGTTGGCATTAAAATAAGGACTTATAAACAACGAATGTTACAGCGAGGAACAGGACACTTGCTCCCAGGGCTGCTGAAAAGCCCAGCTGAGGTGGAGGAGCAGGAAGTGCTGGGGAACCATAAGCACTATTGCCGGAATGAGCGCCTGCTGTGCAGGCTCACCCAGAGACCAGGCACCATCTCCCCATTGTACAGACAAGAACACCGAGGCCAGTGAGGGTCCTGTGCTAGTTTCTCGCGGGCTTGGGACCTCTGTGGGTGCCTCCTCTGCCTGTCTCTAGGAGTCCCTCCCCTGCTGGCTCCCGTAGAGCTGCCGCCTGCAGCGGCTCCCGGGGCCCTTCTCAGCCCTGTTCCCCACTAGGTTCATCCTCGATGACTCGGCCTTATACCTGTCCGACAAGTGTGAGGTGGAGACCCCAGATCTGCGGCGAGGTGGGCAGGGCCTGGATCGGGCTCCCTTCCCACAGCGGGTCCGTGTTCCCCAGCCCCACCCAGAGCAGCCAGATGCCCTCCCCCAGCTGCTGGCCGGGTTCTCAGTGCCCATACACGTGGGCTGCACCCAGATAAGCCCCACATTCTCCCCTCTGGCGGCGGGCTGAGGGCTGGGTAGGAGGAGGCCATAGGAACTTCCGCCTCTGATTCAGATTATGTCTGCGTCTTGGATGTCGACCTCTTGGAGCTGGTGATCAAAACCTGGAAGGGGAACACTGCGGGCAAACTGGTGAGTGTGGCCGCCACCGAGGGTCCCCTGAGCCGGGGCAGATGCAGGGCCCAGGGGGCCTCCAGAGCATCACCTCTCCCCACTCACTGTCTTCTGCCCTCTGGGCCTGGGCTCACCACCTACCCTTCTCATGCTGGACTGCAGTTATTGGCCCTCCCAGGAAGGGCCGGGCCTACTGGGGTGTCCCTCCCTGTGAGCCCCAGCAAAGGGCAGCTGCAGCCGGGGCAAAGGCAGGGCTTCAGGAGTCAGACAGCCCTTGTTGGTCCCCCGTTTCCTCCTCTGTAAAATGGAGATCGTGGGCTCCGCCTCCCTGAGATAGGAGTGGGCAGCAAAGCCCTTCATGCAGGGAGTGCCTCCTGCCTCCTCTAGTGGCCCTGCCGAAGCCCTTGCACTCCCCGGGCTTGGTTTGCTTCTCTGTGGAGTGGGCTTGTTGGGCAGGCTGGCCACCGTGGCAGGGACAGAGCCTGGGCTGCTGACGCCCCCACCGCATCCCTATCCCCATCCCTCCCCCACAGAGCCAGCCACTGTTCGAGCTGCGCTGCTCCAACAACGTGGTGCATGTGCACAGCTGCGCCGACTCCTGCGCCCTGCTAGTCAACCTGCTCCAGTACGTAATGAGCGAAGGTGACCTGCACCCCCCTCCCCGGCCCCCCAGCCCCACGGAGATCGCCGGCCAGAAGGTACAGGTGAGGCCTGGCCACACAGGCTACCAGAGCTCTGCCAGGCCCCTCCCTTGCCACACCCCCCAGGGACCTGGCACTGGGGGACCTTGGGGGGCGCCCCTCCCTCCTGTCTCTCATTCACCGCTCCTCCCCACCCGCCCGCCCAGCTGTCCGAGAGCCCTGCCTCCCTGCCCTCGTGTCCCCCAGTGGAGACAGCCCTCATCAACCAGCGGGACTTGGCCGACGCCCTCCTGGACACGGAGCGCAGCCTGCGGGAGCTGTCCCAGCCTTCAGGTGGGGTGGCGGGTGCTTTGGGGCCAGTGGACACGGTCAGGCACCCGTGCCAGACATTCTCCTGAAACTGGCCTCTCCCTCCCACAGGTGGCCCCCCGCCTCAGGCCTCTCCAGTGTCAGTCTACCTGTTCCCAGGTGAACGGAGTGGGGCCCAGCCCCTGTCACCTCCTGTGGTAGCCCCCACAGGCAGCCTGGGGTCCCCCTCAGAGGCCAAGGAAGATGAAAAGGAAGAGGAGGGGGATGGAGACACTCTGGACAGTGATGAGTTCTGCATCCTCGATGCTCCTGGCCTAGGAGTCCCGGTGTGTGGCGGGCAGGTTGGGCAGGCCAAGAAGTGGCGGGAGAGGGTGGCTCAGTCCTGTGCCCCTCTGGAGCCCCTGCTGAGAGAGGTGTGGGAGGCTGGGAAGGTCTCCCGGGGAGGCATGCCCGGACTCCAGGCTTTGAGAAGCAAATGGATTTTCAGAGGAAGAGAGAAGTCCTGGTGTCCCTGGCAGAGGAACTGGGACATGGAGCTGGAAGGAAGAGCAACAGGGTGGCCACTGGGAGGGTGAGAGTCAATTGGCTGCCTGGGTGCTCACCTCCTGGCCCCCACGGGCCAGTGGGAATGTCACATGCAAACAAGACCCAGCTCCCAGGGAGACAGGGCTGGCATGGGCAAGGGGCACTCAGGCCCCTCTGGACAGAGCAGTCACATAGCACAGGTTCTGGGGATGGTGGCCCATGCGAGTCACCTTTTGTCCAGAATGGGGAGGGAGATATAAGGACAGGAGAGAAGGTGAGGCCAGACTGAGCAAGACATATATGCCACATATATTCACTTGGTCTCCTCCCACAGCCTCGTGATGGGGAGCCCGTGGTGACGCAGCTGCATCCAGGCCCCATCATTGTTCAGGACGGGCACTTCTCACGGCCGCTGGGCAGCACGGACCTGCTGCGGGCACCTGCCCACTTCCCAGTGCCCAGCAGCCGTGTGGTGCTGCGTGAGGTCTCCTTCGTCTGGCACCTCTATGGGGGTCGAGACTTTGGCCCCCACCCTGGCCACAGGTGAGGAGGAGGGTGCGGTGACAGCTGTGGCAGCAGGGCCTGCCCACCCAGGAGATGGGACCAGGGCTGGGGTCCAGCTTGGACCTTCAGCAGTGGGGAACCCTGAACCATGTCCTTACCTCACTGGCCTCAGTTCTTCCTTTCTTTGTCCACTCCCAGGGCTGAGAGGGTCTCCTGTCTCAGGCTGAAAGCCCGCTGTGAGGGGAGCGCATGAGGAAGGGGGTCCCCCTGAGTCAGCTTATCCCCTGTCCCTCTTCCAGGGCAAGAGTTGGCCTCATGGGCCCCAGGGGCTCCCCTTCCCGATGCTTCGGCCCCAACCGACCCCAGAACTCCTGGCGTATGCAGGGGGGCAGTGGGAGGCAGCACCACGTCCTCATGGAGATCCAGCTCAGCAAGGTGGGCTGCGGGCGAGGGTGCAGAGGCCCGCTTGGGGGGGCGGCCCACCCCTGCTGCCCAGCCTGCACTCCATTTCTCGGGAACTTGGTGCGGGCCCTGGTCATGCGCTGAGTCACCGAGCATTTGTGGAGTGGCTGCCATGCCTCGTGCACACCGGGCGTTGTTCCCCCATCACCAGGCGCTGGATGCAGCGATGAGAAAGCAGACAGAAGCCCTGCTTTCCCGTCACTTGTATGGGAGCGCCAGAGGGAGTCAAATAAGATAAATACAGTGTGGAGTGTGATACATGCTCCGCGAAAATAAAACAGGTCTGGGGCACAGGGGCTGCTGGGGAAGGGCAGCAAAGTCCTCCAGCAAAGGTGCAGTTGGCACAAAGGCCTGAGGCAGGGAGCCAGGAAGAGGTTTTCAGGCAGAGGGCACAGAGGCCACAAGCTGGCAGCAGCCCTGGCATGTGCCAGAAGCAAGAAGGCCAACGAGGCAGGAGCTGAACATGCAGGAGAGCAGGAGGAGAGAGACCAGAGCTGCGAGCGGGTACTGGGCCCTGCAGACCGTGGAGGTCTGGGCTTTGACTAGAGACGCAGTCAGCGTGGTCAGTGGCTGCTCAGGGCGGCCGCAGCAGAGCAGACGCAGTGGTGAGGTTCGGTAAAGATTCTGACGGTGGGAAGAACCGCAGGTCGGGCTGGGGGACTAGATGTGTCTGAGGCAGGACCTGAGACATGACGTAGTGGAGGTGCACCTACTGAGAGTGGCCCGCCAGACCCACTCCCCCGCCTGCAGGTGGTGCTGGGAGAACTCTGGGAGGGGGCTGCCCCTCTGGGACCTGACGGCACAGGGAGCCAGTGCTGGGTGAGGGGAGAGGAAGGCCAGGGCCTGGGCCTGAAGGTGAGAAAAACCTTGACCTGTTCAAGGGCAGAAGAGAGACCAGTGGGGCTAGGACAACAGGAGCAGGGCCGAGGTGGGCTTTAGAGAGAGAGCAAGGCTTTGCCAGGCCAGGTGAGGGGCTTGCAGAACTCAAGGTGGGCAAGTGTATGCCCTACGAAGGTCCCTGGGGGTGTGGTGAAGGGGCTGGAGGAGGCAAAGTAGAGGGGCTGTCCCAGGGAGGGGTGACAGAAGCTCCAAGACCAGGTGGCAGCTATGGAGATGACAGAGGTTCAGAGAGATTGGAGATGTTTTGAGGAAGCAAAACTGACCACCACAGTGATGGGGAGCTGGAAGGGGAGGTTTACATCTGGGGTGATGGGGCGGCGGGAATGGGGAGGGAAGGGGTCAGTGCTGCCGACTGGAGTTGAAAATGCCTGCGTGACAGGCCACGTGGAGGTGTGCAGCCCGGCAGGGGCTGAGGTGGGACTAGGGACGGGAAGGGCGGCTGGGAGGGGAGCCTCCCCAGCTCAGGCCTCCGTGCGCCCACAGGTAAGCTTCCAGCACGAGGTGTACCCAGCAGAGCCAGCCGCGGCCCCCACGGGCCCCACGGGCGCTGGCCGGGAGCTGGAGGAGCAGCCGCTGTCCCGCCAGGTGTTCATTGTGCAGGAGCTGGAGGTCCGCGACCGGCTGGCCTCGTCCCAGATCAACAAGTTCCTGTACCTGCACACGAGTGAGCGGATGCCGCGGCGCGCCCACGCCAACATGGTACGGCTCCCGCCTCCCCCCAGGCAGGGCTGATCTGTGCGTTGGGTAGCCTGGGCAAACAGCGGGGCTCAGGCGGCCTTAGCCGAGGGGACCGCAGGTGCAGGGCAGTTCTGACTGGGTGAGCAGCGAGGGCAGGACCCAAGGCCCAGCAGGTGCCCTGAGCTCACCCTCTGCCCACAGCTCACCATCAAAGCGTTGCACGTGGCCCCCACAACCAACCTGGGCGGACCCGAGTGCTGTCTCCGAGTCTCACTGATGCCCCTGCGGCTTAACGTGGACCAAGTAAGTGGGCGGGGGCGGGGGCGGGGCCGGGGGGGGCCGCTGCTTCCAGGCCTGTGGGCCTGACCCGCACCTTTCCGCTGCAGGATGCCCTGCTCTTCCTCAAGGACTTCTTCACCAGCCTAGTGGCTGGCATCGCCCCCATGGTCCCGGCGGAGAGCTCCACGGAGGGTGAGGAGCTGGGCCAGGGAGGGCTGGGTGCTGGCCTCCTGCCTCCCAGCCATCCCCAGGCCTGTCCCTAGGCCCACCCCGTGTCTGTGCTCCCTATCCAGCTCGCCCTGAGACCCGAGCCCAAGCCAGCAGCCCCTGGGAAGGGCAGCCTGATGGTGTAGAGACGACCAGCCCCCAGGAGACCCCAGGCAGTGGCCACAGCTCCTCTGTGGAGCAGCAGCCCATCTACTTCAGGTAGAGCTGGGGCCCTGGGCCAGGACACAGGGAGGCGGGTCAGTGACCAAAGCCCCCCACCCCTGCCCCCCAGGGAGTTCCGCTTCACATCCGAAGTGCCCGTCTGGTTGGACTACCATGGCAAGCACGTCTCCATGGACCAGGTGGTAAGAGGGGCCATGGGCAGGGTGGCCACACGGGCTGGATCCTTCCTGGGTTCCCTGTTCTGCCCAGGTATGGCCTGGTCTTTGGGGTGTAGAGCTTGATGGTGTCTAGGCACCATCAACTGCTGACTGGCCTCCAGTGGCTCCCATGGGCCGGGCAGGTCCCTGTTCCCCATCATGTAAACCTGAACCCCTTCTGTGACCCCAGGGCACTTTTGCTGGCCTCCTCATCGGCCTGGCCCAGCTCAACTGCTCCGAGCTAAAGCTAAAGCGGCTCTGCTGCCGGCATGGGTGAGCCCCCCTCGCCCTCCACTCCCAGCCTCTCTCCAGCCTCTGCCTATCTTCCCTTTGCTCTCTTCCTGGCTGGCTGGGTGACTCGGGCCCGGTCGTCACCCCTGTGGAGCCCCAGTTTCTCCTCTGGAAAACAGTCTCAGTCACCCCTTTGCACAGGACTGGGTGGGGCCAGAGCACCTCGGGTGTCTAAGGTGACCCCCTCAGTGTGTGGCTCTGCCCCCACACCCTCCTCTCCCATTCCCAGGCTCCTGGGCGTGGACAAGGTGCTGGGCTATGCTCTCAATGAGTGGCTGCAGGATATCCGCAAGAACCAGCTGCCCGGCCTGCTGGGGGGCGTGGGCCCCATGCACTCAGTGGTCCAGCTCTGTGAGTATCTGGCTTTGGAGGCTCTTAAAACTGCTCTGCCTCTTGGGCAGCCTGGAAGCTGCCACTGGGGGTAGGTGGAGGTTCTATGACAGGGTGGGCAGGGGCAGTGCAGCCTTGGGCATCTCTGACAGCTCTATCCCCCTAGTCCAAGGGTTCCGGGACCTACTGTGGCTGCCCATCGAGCAGTACAGGAAAGATGGGCGCCTCATGCGGGGGCTTCAGCGGGGGGCCGCCTCCTTTGGCTCATCCACAGCCTCCGCTGCCCTAGAACTCAGCAACCGACTGGTGCAGGCTATCCAGGTGAGTAGGTGCCCTGCGTCCAGGCCATGCAGGGCAGGGAGGGTCAGCTTCACAGCACCTGATCCCGACCCCGAAGCTCTACTAAGAGTGGGTAGCCTGGGTTCATGGCTTCATTTTGTGAAGAACTGTCACAGACAGGGGAGGCCGAGCGACTGGCCTGGGGCCCACAGTGGTTCCGTGTGGGAGGGTGGGCACCCCAGGCTTTTGCAGCCTGCTGGGTCTCTGCAGCTGGCTGTCTTGAAGGGGAGAGAGGGTGTGGTTCCATTTACAGACAAAGAAACTGTGGCCCAGACTGGCCCTGGCTCATTCAGGCCCTGTGCTTTGCTAGGCCTGGACGGATCTCCAGAGAGGGCAGGGGCTGTCCCCTGAGCAGCTGTCATCCAGTGCCATGAGTCCTGTGGTGGAAGGTTTGGGGACAGGCAGGCATTTGTGACCAGTTGTAGTGGGTGGGGGATGAGTGAGCAAAGGTGGGGAGCTCAGTGCTTTCTGGGACCTGCAAACCCAGCCCCATGGAGCTGGAACAGGGCTTCTAGAGGGGAGGCTGGAGAGATGAGCAGGCTCCCAAGAGCCCCCTGCAGGCACAGCCAGGGGAGGCTATAGTGGAAAGGGGTGACGCTGGGAGAGAGGCAGGGGGGCAGAACTAGGAGCTGGCAGGCTGAAGGCAGGTGATGGACGCACTGGACCCATGGGGCTGAGTGAGGGGGATCCCAGGCCTCTACTGGGACTGCCCCCAGAGCCAGTGAGGCCGGGCAGGCGGGGCTGGGGGAGGCAGATGCACACCTATCCGTGGCACCCCACAAACGGGGTGGGGGTACATGGATGTGGCGGTTGGCAGGAGGAGGCATTTGGGTCTGGAGGACATTAGGAGAATCCCCTCAGGAGGCGTGCACCCCATCTGAAGCCCCCTGACCCTTAGCAGGACCCCAGGAGCAGCCCCAGAAAGCATGGCTATGGGACGTGGTGGGATGGTGGTTTCCCTGAGCTGCCCTGGGGTCCAGCAGGGTCTTTGGAGGCTGATTCAGGGGGCCCAGAGGTCAGGCCTGTTTGCCCAGTCCAGCTCTCCTCATCCAGTGTCCCCAACACTCCCCCAGGCCACAGCAGAGACCGTGTATGATATCCTGTCCCCGGCGGCACCCATCCCCCGCTCCTTGCAGGACAAGCGCCCCACACGGAGGCGGAAGGGCCAGCAGCCCGCAGACCTCCGGGAAGGTGTGGCCAAGGCCTACGACACAGTTCGAGAGGTACTGAGGCCCTGTCCTGCCCCCAGTCCCAGTCGATCCGTGCCAGCCTCCCCACATAAACCTCTGTGTTGACCTCTGACCTCCACAGGGCATCCTGGACACGGCTCAGACCATCTGCGATGTGGCGTCTCGGGGCCATGAGCAGAAGGGGCTGACAGGTGCTGTGGGGGGTGTGATCCGCCAGCTGCCCCCCACAGTGGTGAAGCCTCTCATTCTGGCCACAGAGGCCACATCCAGTTTGCTGGGGGGGATGCGAAACCAGATACTCCCTGATGCCCACAAGGACCACGCTCTCAAGTGGCGCGCAGACGAGACCCAGGACTGATCGCCAGGACCCAAAGACGCTGCTGCCCACCACGCCCAGCTCACCCCAGCACCTGGGCTCCCGCTCCTGGTGAGAGCTTTGGCCCACAGGCAGGCAGGCCAGGCCCTCCAGGGGAAGATTGGGAAGGACCCTGCCCGGCCCACCTGCTGCCAGGCTTCAGAGGCGGGGCCTCCCTGCCTGGGGCCTGGGCCCCATCTCTGCACTTTTCTTCTGGGGAGAAAGGACACTGCCTCCACCACTGCCTGGGCCCACACTGCTGTCTTGTCCCAGGCCAGAGGCTCTTGTACCCAACCCCACTCAGCCAAGTGTCTTTCTGTGTCTGGAGGGAGCTGTCAGGACAGACACAGTGTGGTTCAGTGTATTATTTTTAAGCTCCTTGAGTGTGTGGGTCAGTGTCTGCATGAAGTGGAATAAACTGCCCACTGCCAGCCCCTGGTCCTGTGTACCTTCAAGGCCTCCGCCTCTGCCTGGCCAGATCGCCACATCTACATCAGCACCTCCCATGTCACCATCAAGGGTCACCGTTCCTTCCTTGCCCCCAGGCCTCTAACCCAGCCACCTGCCCACCCCTGTACTCCCTCCCTTGGCTGCCCTTGTGGCCTAGCTGGGCTGGTCCTTGTTCCCCACTGGGGAGGTGGGGGGGTGGCACCACCCTGGTCCCGTTTCTGATGGGACAGGAGGGGCCTGGATTCTGTCTCGCCCAGACCATGATTCTTGACTCTACCCCTGCCAGACCCCCCGTCCTGCCTTACCTGGGGCCAGGTGTGCAGGAATGGCCGGGAAGATGCTGGACCAGAGCAAAGGGCAGGGCTGTGGGGTGCCCCAGAGAGGCGCAGGCCCCGACCACGTGACCTGTAGCGACACCTTTGGTTTGAGCCTCAGTCCCTCCTCATGATTACTGCCCCGTGACCTGGGACCAGGAGGGGCAGTCAGGCCATCTTGGAAGGCCAGGCCATCTGTAGGCTGCTGTGCTGTCCCTAGCAGAGGGCTCTTCAGGTGATAAGCCTCTTCCCAGAGTCCCAGGTCCAGGGCACCGGGGCGGGCAGGCCACTGGGGCAGCTCTGGCTGGAAGGGGCCCTGACAATGGCATTTGTGCAGAAACTGACATGGGTTTGGAAAATGCCCCTTGTCCACCCCACCCCCATACACCCCTTGTTCCTGCTCCTTTCTCGCTGGAGCACAGCACGGAGGTGGGCGGGTGGGCCTGTGAGAAGACCACGGCTCAGGTTGGGAGTCACAGACATGGAACCCTGTCACCTAGCTGGGGCGTCCACGGACCTCTCTGGGGTCAACAGGTCCTCCCAGCTCTTCTCTGCATCCCTGGCTTCCCTTTCTCATTAGGAGATCCGGGCACCATGTGAACAGGGCAGAAGTTTTGTCCTGGTGGACCCTGGGGTACTCCCTGCCTGTGGTCACCTGGGGCAGTGGGCCCTTGGTGGGCTGCGGATGACTGGGGTCTGATGCCACCAGGTGGGGCAGATGGGGGCCCAGCCTGATGCTTCCTGGAACAGCCCCACCCTCCCGGGGCACAGTCCAGGGGTTCATGCCCTTCCAACCACACTTGTGATCAGTATTGACAAGCAGCCAGATAATCATTAACTGCTGCCAGGGGCTGGGCCAACGGCTCAAAAGGCGCTGGGCCCTGGGCGTCCCCACTTCCTCCTTGTGTCCAGAGGCCAGCCAGGTGCCCAGGTAAGAGCCTGCCCCCGTGGTCAGACCCCTACAGCCCCTCCGTCCTAGGGTGCTCCCGAGCCCAGCCTCCTGTCTGCAGGGTCCCAGCCCTTCTGAAGAAGCGACCTAGGCAGCCCCTTGATGACGCTGCAAGCCTTCCCAGCCCCGGCCCTCAGTTCCCACCTGTGGGATGCAGAACCAGGACTGCCTGAGCTGCAGCCCCGGGCGGGACTGCCATGGCCTCCCCAGGCATCTCAGGAGGGCCTGCCAGGCGTGGGGTGTAGGAGGGCAGTATCACCAGCCATCGTGTCTTCATTCGCAGGCCTGTCCTCCCAGGCAGAGGACTCCTGCCAAGGGATACCCTCATCCCATCCTGACTGTGTCCCACTTCAGGGAGGTTGCCAGGCAGGGTGGACCCCAAGGCCCTGCTCTGTGACCGTGGGTGGCCTCCTTTGCCTCTCTGGACCAGTTTCCCCTACTGGGAAAGGGGGGCATGGCCCAAGTCCACTCTAAAAGCTCAGAATCGTAGCTTCTCTTCCTCTCCAGAATCTTTGGGGTATCTGAAAGCTTCCCTAGGCCTTGGTAGGCCTGGCACTGGAACATGTCACTGAAGCCTCTTGGGCCGGGGCCTGTCTGTGGGGGGTGAGAACACATTTTGCAGGAGAAAGGCCTGTTCCTCGGGGCCCTGGGCCAGTTCAGCTCCTTCCTTTCCTCACAGTAGGGATGGCCCCAGAGGTTAAAGGATGGCTTCCCATCAGTCTAGGCCAGTGTGCAGGACAGTCTCACAAGGTCTGATGTAATGATATGATGAACCAGCAGCAGCTCAGAGAGGTTAAGCCACACGCTCAAGGTCACCCAGCCCCTAGGCCCCTGCTGGCTCTCAGGCCACTGAGATGTCAAGTGTTCCTCCAGCTGGGTGGTTGCATACAGTCCTGTCTGCGCCTCCTGCTAGCAGGTTTGTGCCTCAGCGTCTTCCCAGGGCCTCTGACGCCCTCTCCCTCCCTGGCCCTCCCTGACCTCTTCATTCTGTCCCTTTCCATGCCTGTCTCATGTTTCCCTTCTGGCCTCTCTGCCTCGCTCTCCCTTTCTCTTCCCTCCATCCCTGCCTGACTCTAGGTCTCATCTCCAGCTTCTCCTACAGGGCTGGCCTCAGGAATCTGGGCTCTCAGGGGTCCCTAGAGACCAACAGATGCCCAGCCGACCCCCGCAGTCCCTCTGCCCTGTGGCCACAGCAGGAAGGGTGGGCAAAGGACAGAGGGCAGAGGCTACTGCGGCCAAACCTGAAACTGGGGCTCAGCTTTGGTTGGGAAAGAAATGAGGAAATAAAGAACTTAGGGGCAGAGGGTGTGGGGTGTCGGGCGGGCAAAGGCTGCCCATGAGCTGTAAACCAGAGCCACTCCCGGCTTTACGAGCAGCTCTGGGGCTGAGACTGGACTTCGCCCAGCAGAGTGCTGGCATCAGACTCCAGGGGTGGGCCTCAGATGATAAGGAGCCTCAAAAAGACCACGGACCTGGGGCCCCAAAGACCCAAGGGTCAGGTGGGTGGGTGTGGGATATTTCCCGGACCTCTGCCCAAAGGGAGATGCCAGGTGGGCAGGGCCCAGGCCTCCAATCGGCTTCCACCCCCTGTAACAGCAACTCCATGTGGAAGTGCCCACTGGTTCCAATGGGGCTGCTGTTATCTGGGATGGAGGCCAGTGGCCACGGAGGAGGAGAGGCAGCTGCTGCCCAGCAGACCAGCAGGGGCCTCCCAGCCACTCTCCCAGGCCCAGGAGAGTGACAGGCTGTCAGTCGGCTGCCATGATCGAGTGCACAGGGCTCTGACCTATGAATTGACAGCCAGTGCTCTCGTGTCCCCTCTGGCTGCCAATTCCATAGGTCACAGGTATGTTCGCCTCAATGCCAGCCGCCAGGACCTGATGGGGAAGGGGCTGGGCTAGGGGGTGTCTGCTGGGCAATGAAGACTTGAGCGCAGCCCTCGAGACCCCACTCCTGCCTGTCTCATTCCCACCTTTCCATTTCCGCTCCGTGAGCTGGAACTGCTTCAGAGTCCCCCCTATATTGGTTGCACTGTGGCATGCCTCTGTGCTTTGCCCGTGCTGTTCCCTTGGCCTGGAGCACCCTTCCCGGTCTCTACCAGGCTCACCCTTACTGTTCCAAGTTCTGCCCAAGCATCTGCTACCTCCAGGAAGCCTTCTGGAAGCCCACTTGATCCTAAGTGCCTACAAAGCATCCCCAAGCACCCTATACTTCCCCTGAGCAGTGCACTCACCCAATGTTTCTGTCTTCCCACCACCTGTGAGCTCAGCCCCCCCACCCAGGCCTAGCCCAGGGGTGTGCTTCATAAGTGTTTGAAGAGCCTAAGCCTCCATCTTACATCTCGAGGAAGAATCTCCATTGTGTAGTATGGACAAGGGAGGCCAAGGGCTCTCGGCCCCAGTATGTGCTGGAACCCCTCCTTCCACCGCACCCCCATCCCCCAGCCCAGGACAAGGAGCGTGAGCCTGCCTCCCCTCCCTGCCCCTCTCTCCTCTCTCTTGCCAGTCATGTCTCCGCAACACAGCCACTCTGGTGAAGGAGGCAGCCAACTGGTCAAGCCCACTCACCCTGCTCCAGCTTCCCCAACAGCCTCCCACTGAGTTTTTATACAGTGGGGTTCTGCAGAAATTTTCATTTGAATAAAAAATTTTCTGTGGCTAAAAAAATAGACATTTTTAAATTGGAAACACAGATGTAGAAGCAAATTCCAAATTGCTTAATAACAGGAACTTGTTCTTGAACCCTTTCTGTGTGCTGGGCACTTGGATATGTCAATCATCTGGAAACCTCTCAGCAACTTTGCAAGGTAATTGTGAATGTGTTCGGGAGATGATACAGGTTCAGAGAGGATGAGCATTTGCTAAAGTCACAGACCAAGTTGGACCTTCTCCCTCTGGTGACCCTATGCAGCTGACAAGCATCTGGCTCCCCTACAGCACTGTAGGGGGACACATTGCCCTATCTTCAGATCCCTGCACCCCCGTATCCTCTGTGGAGGCCCAGCTCAGACTCCCCTGCCATGAATCTGCAGGAGCTGCCCCATTCCTCTTCCTGGGCTCTGTGGGCCTCTCCCACTGCCCCTTATCTCGTTCCATCCAGGGTTGAGAGCTCTGCCTGCTTATCTAATTCCAGGGCTGGTCTCAGGCTCCTTGAGGGCAAAGTCCATGACTCACTCATCCTTCTTGGACACCCACCTCCTCAGCACAGTATTCAAGATCACTGGCTGAACAGTACAGAGCTAAACTCTGACCCTCTAGGGGCTGTCAGGACCTAGGGCCAGAGCACTGGCTTAGGGTGGAAGGTGATGGCTTCTCCAGAGCTTCTGATGGCTCTTGGAGACCAGGTCCCAACTCCTGAGTGAGGAAGACCCACCTCTCTCCAACTGGCACCTTGATCTCCACTGACATGTAGGCTTTTTCCACAGGCCCTGGGCCTGTGTGCATCTTGCCTAGTCTGGAAACTGCTGTCACTCCTCCCAAGCCTCCAGGACACCTGCCTGGTTGCCCTGGTCCCCCACTCACTGGCTCCCAGGATGCTCTGTGGCCTTTCTTAGGCACCCATCACACATCTTAAATACACTCCATCACCAATGCCTGGCTGTTTCTCCCCGGCCTGTGAACCACTGACTTTTTGCTTCCTGTAGCCTCGGGGACTGGCACAGAGTAGGTGCTTAATAACACATGCTGAAGGACTGACCGTACGCGAGAAGGTGTTCATGGGGAGAGAGACATCAGACGTTTGGAGGCCCTCAGTCATTGCCCACCATCATCTTCATCACCGTCATCTTTACAGAACACAATGCCGACTGAAGAGGTGTCCTGAGAATGTGTGCAAATTAACCATTTTCCAATCTCGGAGAAAGGTGGGTGGCGGGAAGAGGATCAGTGTTGGGCAGCCGTGATAGGGAAAGTCTCCCTGAAGGAGCTGAATTTGAATTAAGCTTTCGCAGAGGTGAAGCTCAGTGACAGGTCGTGAGCACAGGAGAAGGAAGGAATAACAAGGACAAATGCACGGAAAGGGGACGAGGCCTGGGGCAGGTGGGCTGTTCCCTCCCGCCTCGTAGCGTCCTCTTCTGCAAGTCTTGCTCCCTGTGGCCACCACCAGGGGGCGCGCCAGACCGCATTCCTCCGAGCTGGGCGAGGCCTCTCCCCACCGACTCCTTCCCAGCCTGCGGGGATGTCCGCACTCTACAGCGTCCACCTGGCACAAAGCGGGGTTCCTGATGGGACTTTTACAGCTGTTATGTGTGTATAAAACATAAATGTACAGTGAATACTTGTATAATTATGAGACCCTGTGTAACTATTACTCAAGTTAAGAAAGAAAATCTCTGTGCTGCAGAACCCCAGACAAAATACGTTCTTCCAGGTGACCCCTCGCGACCTTCATAGTAACCACTTCTTGCCTTTCTCTCTGCAGTTCCCCACCCATGCATGCAGCCCAAAACAGGGTGTGATCATTTTGCCTGGGTTTGTTACATGTTTATTATATAAATGAATTCTGCTGCCTGTCTGGCTGTCAACATGTGCTTGCTGGAGCTGTAGTTTGTCCACGTTCATTCACTGTCGTATGCTATTCCACTGTACAATAGAATACAGTTGATCTATCCATTTTACTATAAATGGACTTTGGTACCACCAGGTCATGCAAATATAATATTAGATCAGGCCACGTGGTGCCTGAAGGGAGGAGTACCTCCTTATAGGCGTTTTTGTTTCTGTTTTTGACAATTACAAAACCTCCAAAAAAGCTGCAAAAATGATACATAGACCACCCAGATACCCTTCACTTAGATTCAGCAAGTTAACATCTTGCCTCATTTGCTCTCCCTCCCTTCCTGCCTCTGTCTCACATGCACACACACACACACACATTTTCTCTGAACCATTTGAGAGTAAGTTACAAAGGTCATGAGCCTTCACCCTTAAATATTTCAACATGTACCGCCTAATGACATCCGTTTGCTTTCACAAGCACAGTAGTTACCAACGTAGGCATGGCAACAGTGATGCAATGCCATGATCTACCGGCCGACCGCCCTCAGAGGACCGTCCCAGCAAGGCCGGACCAGGCCTCGCGTTGGGTTGTCATGTCTCTTCTGTCGGCTTTCACCTGGAACTGTCCTCAGTCTTGCTTTGTTTTCCAAGACCTTAACATTCTTAAAGAGTTCAGGAGAAATGTTTTGTAGAATGTCCCTAGTTTTTTTCCCATTCCCACCCGCCTGCCATTTAAGAAAATCAAGTATGTGTATTATATAAAATTTGGATACTATAGAAAAGTAAACAATTGGTCTAGTTTCTCTGATGCAAGGCTGGCCCTATAGTCAATTTCTGTAATCACTTGAGTTAACTGAGTTTGGTGTTCTGTGCCTTGTGTACATGAACTCATTTAATCCTGGGAGGCAGCTGTTTTCTTAGCCTGTTTTACAGCCGGCAGTCCTGGAGACCTTGAGTATCGCTAAAGATGGCACAGACAGTAGGACTTAACCTGACCATGCGCTTGGCCCTTGCGCTATACGGCCTCTTGATAGTGATAGTGGCTGGTAGTGTGTGTGTGTGTGTGTACTAGGGCAACGTGTGCATCACGTTGTACTCAGTTTTGAAATTTGCTTTCCCAGTTGCCGGTACGCCAGGTTCACTTTAGTTTCTTCCATTTTCTCCTCGTCATCTGCGGAACAGCTGCCAGGTGTTGCCAACCAAATAAATCACTGATCAGCAGAAAGACATACCCACTGCTGTAGGAGTCTTGTGTTGCCATGCAACCCTATGACTACAAACTTAGTGGCCTCAAACAACCACCATTTACCAGCTCACATCTTTATAGGTCAGAAGTCCAGAGTCTCGAATGCTGAAATCGGATGCTGGCCAGGCTGAGCTCTGGTCTGGAGGCTCCAGGGGAGGAATCTGCTTCCACTTGGCTCCTTCTTTTGATTGGCAGGAATTGGCAGAATTCCGGTCCTTGAAGCTGTAGGACTGAAATCCCCAGTTCCTTGCTGGTTGTCAGCTGGGGGCCACTCTGAGCTTTTAGAGGCTGCCCACATTCCTTTCCCCGTGGCTTCCTCCATCTTCCAGCCAACAGTGGCACACTCAATGCTTCTTGTGCTTTGAATCTCTTCACTTCCTTCCTCTGCCACCAGCTGGGAAAAAAAAACCTCTGCTTTTCAAGAGCTTGTGTGATTAGGTCAGGTCACTTGGCTAGTGTCCACTCTGAAGTCAGCTGTGCTGTGGAACACGACCTGTCACAGGAATACACACACCGTATTTACAGTCCCAGGCATTCCACCAGGTGGGTGCACCAGGGTGGGGATCTCGGGGACATCTTAGAATTCTGCCTACCACGATTACCAAAGGGCAAGAGGGGTGTTTCAGGGTAAGGGCTTGGAACCACGGGTCAAGAGGCCAGGTTGCATGAGCAGGTGTTGGAGGCTTGGCCCAGCTCTGGGAAGGGACCCGTTGTATCCCTGCCCTTGGAGAAGCCCCACCATGTACGGCTAGGAGCGAGCAGGGAGCTGGGACAGATGTGGGCCCAGTCATCTCCCTGGATCCAGCCCTTTTCCAGATGACCAGTCCCTGTTGCCTGTACTTCAGGGCAGGATGAAGAAGACACGTTAGAGGAATGGTCCAGCTGGGCCAAAATGGAAGTAAGAGACTGACAGTTGGCCGAGTAGGTGGGTGGGAGCAGCTGCTCAGAGGCACTCACATGGAGGCTGACTGGAGAGAGGAAGATGGAGAAGTAGGTCAGTGGAGGGGACAGAAGGTGGCTGTGGGCACAATGTCTGACCCCTGCTGAGGTATGGGTGTGAGGGCCTGGACTCATTGAACGTGGCCTGGGTTCCGTGTCCTGGTGGCCAGGTGCGACACACTGGGCTGTGACTGTGGTCACCCAGACAGTAACACCCCCATGCCTCGTGTGTACTGTCAGTCTGCTAAGACTGCAGCGACATCGGGGTTACACCCACCATTATCATCAGTGTAGACCAGGATAGTGCCTGGGCACCCCAGGGGATTTAAGGGAAACACTGCACCCCGTGATCAGCTGCAGCTCCTGCCTCAGCATCCCCTACAAGATGGGGCCCGAGGATGGCTTCCTCCAGCTCAGCAATAGAGTTTCTCCCCAAACCACCCAGAGGCGTCTGTGCTCTGCTCTGCAGAGTACCGTGAGGTCATGGGTACATAGCACCCTGGGAAACATGCAAGCAGGGGCCCCAGCTGCAGGGTGAGAGCTGCTGCTTCAGGGCACATTCACCCCAGCTCTTGAGACCCTCTTCCTCTGCTTTGCCACCAGCCCAGCTTTGCAACTTTGAGGCCTGAGTGTGGAAAGAGCATAGTGTGAAGACACCAAAGGCCCAGCTTCTCATTCAGCCTTGGCGACTGTTCAAGCTAAGCTCTCGGCATTCCTGGGCCTCAGGCGTTTTCTCGCGGGGATATGAAGGTAGACATCCCAAGCACTGACACGGCTGTTTCCAAGCCCGGCCATGTTCCAGAGGCCGGACACCTACAGAGGCCGCTGGAGCCCAGCCACCCTCCCCAGAACCCTGGCTCCCAGGCCGTGTCCACTGACGTGCCTCTTAGGGGGCAGGGTTGTGGAGTATGCCCTTCTGTCCCATGCCAGAGACCCTGGCCTGAGGAGGCACTTCCCCATTTCTTTACCTTATTTTGGCAAAACTCATCTGCTGGCTGAACCCATTCCTCATGACTGCAGGAAAAGCAGGGCCACGTATCAGTACTTCCTCGGTGGAAAGAAGGAACGGCTCCTCATTCCAGGGACAAACCCACGTGTTTTTTACTTTTTCCCAGCCTAACTTTTCTGCCATATTTGGAGAAAAACTCCATTTTTCTTTTCCTTCCCCCACTTTTTTCCATTTAATTGAGGCACACATAATAAAATGAACAGATCTTGGTGTACAGCTTGATGAATTTCCTTTTTTGTGAAGTTGTTTTTAGGAGCCTTGTCTACACTTCTCAAGACCAGGCCATTGGGGGACTGAGAAGACTGCTTTTAGGGAAGGCAGGTGACCCCCTTTCTGCTAGCTGAGGGCAGTCTCTCAGGAGTCCTCAAGGCACCGTAAGGCCAGATTTTGCAGGTATGTTTGTGAATCTGAAAGAAGAAAACACTGGGGGTACGAGATAAGCAGTATTTCTGAGATAAAGGAAAATATTTGAAGCCTCCCTCGATCTTTTGTTGGGACCCAGGCAAAGACAGAAAGTGAAGCAGGAGAAACCAAAAGTGAAATCGTTCACTCACATTGTGTGAAACTTGTCCACTACACATAAACTACCTTACTCAAAAAACAAGAAGGAAAGAAAATTAGGACATTTCTCACAGTCTGGGGCATTACTACATGAGGAAGCTGCCCAGAGCTGGGTACTAACTCGGTGAAAATAGGGAAACTAATTTTCGCCTGCTTGAGCCTCATGAGAGAGATCCCTTCTTCCAGTTCTTTGAGCTCTTTGGAGAAAGTCGTGCATAACAAACAGGGGGTGGGTTTCATTTATAAATAACCCAGGAACATTTTGTTGTTTTCAGTGTTACAGGGCTGGCTTTTCCCAGCATGCAGGACTCTGGGGAGATGGGAAAACCATGGTGGGTCAATGTGAGTGCTGCTGGGGAGGGGCCTCACCAAAGCCTCATTCAGGCCCCTGAACAGCCACCCTTTCAGGATGTCCAGCTCTGGGCCCTTCCCTGGAACAGCCCAGGGGCTTTATCTCCGGGGTGGGCCCCTCAAAACTCCATGTAGAAGACAGGTCCTTTGGCTTCTAAGCCTCGCCCAGGAAATCGGGACTGGGCCTGCCGCCGGAGGCCCCTGGTCACTAGCTGGCACATAGCCTCTGGTGGCAGCCCCGCCTAAGAATCTCAGTATCCTCTTTTGAGAATGCCAAAAAAAATCTCATAGCTTCTGTGTTTTTACGGCGATAGATGAAAAGAATGCTAATGAAATCCCAAATAAAAGCAGTAAGTCAGGGACCTAAGATTGCAGGCAGGCTCTCCAGCGATTAGATGGGGAGAGGGCAAGACAAGCCGTGTTGCATCATCCATTCCCTCAGAAGGCACCGAGGCCTGATCCCACTTGGATGGGCCATCACACCTCCCATCTTGCCCTCTGACCTCACTTCCCTCAGCTCCCCTAAGTCTGCTTGTTCTCAGCTTTGAGTTCCTGCCTCTGTGCTCTTGGCCTGCTAGCCTGTTTCCTTCCCTGATGTAGGTACCCAGCCCACCCAGGCTCCCACATTGCTCAGAAGCCAGGAAGTTGGACATGAGGCCTTCAACTGCTCAGGTGCATTTTAGATCTGCCCAGGAGTCCCCCAGGGAGCCCCTCCTGCAATTTGGTGCCCTGGTACTGGTTACATAACAATCACAGTCCCCAAAGCTCTGACATCACTGAAGATTCTCATCAGCCTGGACAGCCAAGGGGGCCTGTGTGAGGCCGAGAATGATGGAAGGGGAATGAGCCTAATGGAACAGCCAGGCACTGGTAAGGGGGTGCCAGAGGTCAGAGTTAGATGGTAACTGGTGGTGACCCTGAGAGGAAAGTGGAAGTATTTGGGTATTTAAATTCCCCCTAAGTTCCCACAAGATTTCACTGTTGCCCCATATTTCCTCTCCTCCCCACGTAGGGAATTTCCGATTTCACTTCTTCAAAACCGATGGACCAGAGGGCCTCAACTTCCTCTTTACCCTCCACTGATGCAGCCGCCTTAGCGAGGCCGGCACTTCTACCCCACGGGGCATATGTCTTGGGTGTCCTGCACTGCTTGTGTCCGTTTCCCGATTCCCAGCCCCGCTGGCCTGCGGGGCGCTCAGGCCCCCTGCTGTGGTCAGACTTTCCCCGTGAGCCTCCCTCTCCCCGCTCATTTTTCTTTCCGGGTCACCACGCGGCCTTGGATGTTCTACTCCCGCAGTTCCTCTACTACCTCGTTCCTGTCTCTTCCTCTCCCAAAGCAGATAAAGAAGAGGGGGTGAGAGGAAGCGTCAGGGAAACAGGGGCGAGAGGAGGAGGCAAGGAAGGGCAGTGAGGAAAGGAGGCGCGCGGCCCGGGGTCCTCCGATGCCTCGGGATTCTGAGCCGGTGGGAGGAGAACCGTTCGTGGGGCGCCGCGGGTGCGGCTCGTAGTCACGGAGCTGCGGTGTCTAACTGGACAGCTCGCGTGTGCGGGAAAGCGCGCCAGCCTCCCGCTTCCCCCCTTCCCACCGCCAGCATTTGGCACAAGCAGCCCCCTGCGCGTGGGGCGAAACCAGTGTGGTTGCCACGGCACCCGGTCAGGGGCGGGGAGCGGAGCTAGCGGAGCTCGCGAGATTTGGAACCTGCCAATGGGAGGCGGGGGAGGGGAGGACGTGGCGGGGAGCTCGCGGGCGGGGCACCCCTCCCCCTCCCAGTTCCCCGCGCCGGCGCGCGCGCCCGAACACGGTGCCCGGCCTTATAAAGGGCGCACCGGGAAGCGCGCGCTCCACTCCGCCAGGGCGCTCCGCGGGCCGAGCAGGGCGCCTGCGCAGTGCGGGCCGCTCCCCGCCCCCTGCTCCCACCGCCCCTCTGCCGGCAGGCCGAGCCTGGTCCTAGCCGCTCTGCTCTGCCGCAGCCAGCCCGGTCTCCCGCAGAATGTTCAGCTGGGTCAGCAAGGATGCCCGCCGCAAGAAGGAGCCGGAGCTCTTCCAGACGGTGGCCGAGGGGCTGCGGCAGCTGTACGCGCAGAAGCTACTGCCCCTGGAGGAGCACTACCGCTTCCACGAGTTCCATTCGCCCGCGCTGGAGGACGCCGACTTCGACAACAAGCCCATGGTGCTCCTGGTGGGCCAGTACAGCACGGGCAAGACCACCTTCATCCGGCATCTGATCGAGCAGGACTTCCCAGGGATGCGCATCGGGCCCGAGCCCACCACCGACTCCTTCATCGCGGTCATGCACGGCCCCACTGAGGGCGTGGTGCCAGGCAACGCGCTCGTCGTCGACCCGCGGCGCCCCTTCCGCAAGCTCAACGCCTTCGGCAACGCTTTCCTCAACAGGTACTTGCCCCTTGACCCGGGGGGCGGAGGGCGCCCTCAGTCTTACAGTTGGGTCCTGACCCTGCCGCGCCGCCTCCCCCGCCGTCCTTTGTCTCCGAGGCCCAAGCGAGACCCCCACGACCACTCCCTGGGATAGGGTCCCGTGCCGCTTCCCGCAGAAAACCCACCCGGAGTCTGGGAGTGGGCAGTCGTTGGCTCCCCCGGCTTCTGTTATCCCCAGAATTTTCCAGGTTATCAGTTAAACTCCCAAATCCTCCCGCAAATTCCAGCCCCACATCCGTCAGAACCGGGGCCACGTTAGGAAGGTGCGATCCCTATTTCCACGTCCTTCGCCGGACTGGACGCACCTAACTCATTCAGACCAGTCCCTCCTCCCTCCCTCCCCCCAAGGGTCTGTTTCTTAAGTGCCCTGGAAAAATACTGTGAAACTTTTAGCCATTCCCTTTGCTGCTGTGGTGTTCTGTGCCTCCCCTGGGACTGGTGGTTTTGTGTTGGAGGGACACGGAGGATCTGCTGTGGCCTGCTGAGTTTGGGGCAGCCCAAGGGGGACACCAGACAGTTGGGGTGTGAGTACTTCTCCCAGGGGCAGCTCTAATGTGTCTGTGCTGCTTTAGGGGTTTCAAGAAGCAGCCTCCGCCGTGGTACGCGGAGCCCTGAAATGAGATTCAGACTCTGAGTCTGTCTTGTAGACTTTCTAGGAGGTTCCTCAACCTATTTGGGGCCTTAGTTTCCCCAGTTAAATGGGTGAAACCTGCCTCCTTATGATGTGTGTGTAATCCTCCAAGATTCTAACTCTTACGATAACCACAAACAAAACACTTTAAGGAGTGCAACGGCTAAGCTCACTCTTAAAAGAACCCAAAAGCATTAGTGGTTCTGAAATCCTTCCCTCAACCCCTACTCCCATGGGACATACCAGTGCACATCAACGATCTGCCCTCTCTCTCATCCCTCACCCCTACCTCTCCCATTCAGGGAGTGACTCCACATGCCTTTAGAAACCTAAGTCCGGGGAGAGCCTAGGAAGGAATTCTTGACTCTTGTCTTCCAGGCCTCCACCCTGCATGATCACATTCCTTTCCAGACACTGTCCACCCACCACAGGGTGGACCAGCCTGCCCCCACCCCAAGGCTGTGGCCAGGCCTACCCCTGTGCACAGAGCTGATCTTTAACAGAGAAGACGGGCATCCTTCTCAGTCTTTTTGCCCCTTTCAGGCGTTTGAGCTTGTCCTCTGTGTTCATGTGTCAGGGCCAGAGTTGAGCAAAGCCTTGGGATGGAGGTTGGGGGAACTCCTGAAGAGGCGTGGCCTTCTTGGTCTTGAGCCATCCTCCGGAGAACACTAGTGTTTTAGAATTATTGTGCCTGCAGATAAGTCATTGGCTCAGACTATTGGCTGGTGGGTGCCGTGTGATCTAGTGGAAAGTTTGGATGCTGGAAATTCCAAGCATCATTAGGCCTCTGCTTTCACCCAGAACCTTGGGAAGCTGGAAGGAAGGGCAGCTACCCCAGTCTCTGCTCTCCTCAGTTCACCACTTGGGATCGTGAGCAGACGAGCAGAAATGGGCTTCTGACCTGATTTCTGAATTTGGAGACCTAAAGTTTCAGAGCTGGAAGGGATCTTAGACATGTAGGCAACCTCCCACCCTCCACCCCATTGGTCCAAGAAACCCGCAGCTGATTTATTACAAGTTAACTTATTACAGGCTGACTTACTACAAGTTAATACAGCGCTTACTGTCTGGCCTTTGTGCAGCCAGTTACCACCTACTGCTGCTTCTACCCAAAAGAAAAGAGCAGTTCAGGAGTGCTGGGTCCCAGACAGGCAGTCTGATGATGATGGTGCCCACAGGATCCAAGACCCACACTTCTGTTTCCTTGCTGCCAGCACCTCACATCCAGAGGGTTCCTGATCTAAAATGACTTTGCCGAAAGAGGCCTCCTCAGCCAAGGGGGGGTGGGGCCTGGTTTGTTGCAGCGGAGGCCCCAAGCTGTGTCAGCCTGTACAGTACACTAAGTGCTACCCAGCTAGCCAGGGCACACAAAGGGGTCTCTTCTGTGGCCGGCACAGCCTCTCCCATCACTTTAAAGAGACCCATTGAGTCATGAACTTGGCTTTCCGGCCTTTTCCTCCTAAGTGGCTGCTTAAGACTGAAATCAGATGGAGGAAACCAAGGCAGGGCACAGTCAGGGTGTCCTAAGAGCATCCTGTGAAACTCATTGTGTAACTGGTCCTGCCTGCTTGTAGTGCGAGGTGAAATCTGCATCCTCGTCCTCGTTGGTGGGAAGTGAGATGGGATGCCTCTGTACTGCTGCTCCTTTCTTACTTTGTGCCACACTTCCTGGGCTTTGCAGAGCAACTTGTTTCTGAATTACACAGATCGTTCATCTACAAGCATTTTTAAGTATGTCACCTCTCAGAGCCTATTCTTCAGATCCATTTATTTTGGTCTCCTCTTCAGTGACTCCCCTTCTAGCAGGAGCCCTGGGTCTGGCATGCAGCTTATTTACAGCATGCGTGCTCTGCTGCTGGCCCCTGCAAGGGTGAGGTCCAAGGTTTGTTCTCCCTGAGGGGAGTTTTGCTGTGTTGTGCTTGCAGGCAGCACCTCTCACCGTGGCCAGTTGTCTCCAGCCTGTGGGCCACTAGAACTTGGGGGGAAGAAGGCTAAGGAGAAGCTGATAGCTAGGATTCCTCCCCACTGTTGGAAAGACAGCTTTAAAAGCCTGCATTCCACAGACAGCAGGTCAGCATTTGCTCTGCTCACAGTAACTTTTTTAGAGAAGCTTTTTTTCCCCTGTGCCCAGTTAAGAATCTCTGCCATTAGTTGGGACAGCCCCTTGCTGTTCTGGGCTGTTCTAAGGCCAGAGGAGACTTGGGCACACACAGCAAAGCCCGCACCGTGAGTTGCTCCCCTCTCTGTGGCTTCGCTTCTCCTTGGCCTGCTTCGACTTCCAGAGAATGGTGTCTGTACCTCCTGGCCCCACCAACCAGCCCGTGTGGTCCCCAGCTTTCACTGGCTGCCCACTGCCATCCCTTCACCCAAGCAGCCGGGTGAAAGAGGAGGGCGGGCCTGGCAACAGGAAGAAAGGCCCAGATGGTGTGTGGAGATTTGGCTAAGCGGTTGAAAATTTTAAAGTGGAATTCTAAGGACCCCATCTCACCCTTATGTTTTCCCCTGGAATTGAATGGTGACCTAGGCTCATGCAGTTTTACTAACACGGCAGCAACTTGGAATTTGAACTCTCAACTCTGTGGGAGAAGCCGATGTGCAGGAAATGCTGATGTAGGTCAGTTTGAGCCGGCTGGTTGGGTTCCCAGCCAAGAGAATATGTAGCTTGCTGGCAACCCCAGAAACTAAAGCAATAGAAAACCTCTTTAAGTTCTTTGCTTCTGGAAAGGAAGCCAGAGGCAGAGATGAAGGTATACAGCATGCACCATTCTCAGATCTCTGGCGGTGACAGCTGAGCCTTGATGTCTCCCTTCCGGCTCTCGCTCTATGCAGGTTCATGTGTGCCCAGCTGCCCAACCCCGTCTTGGACAGTATCAGCATCATCGACACTCCCGGGATCCTGTCTGGAGAGAAACAGCGCATCAGCAGAGGTAAACAGGCTCTGACACCACCCAGCCCAGGGCACCTTCCATCTGATGTCCATCAGCAGACCAGACACTGCCCTTGAGCTCCGTCCCAGGCCAAGTGAGCTTGTTACATCAGCCTGGTATCTCCACAGTGCCCCAAGCCCTGGGCAGGAGCTGCTTCCTCCTGGCTTCCTTTGCTAGGGTTACAAGAGCCGTCAGGGTGAGGCCACAGGCAGTTCCATATGGCTTTCGCGCTCTCCAGCCGCTGGGGCATGCTGGAGCAGAGGACGGGGCCTCGGGCTGGCTGCGAGGTCACAGGAGGTCGCTCAGTGTCTGCATTCCGGATTCCTCAGCCAGTATTGCGTTCTGAAAGAGGCCCTGGCTCCCCTGGGGCGCATTCCCCTTCAGTTTGTGTTTAAAAACTGTGCCTCCCAAAGCCGTGTAAGTTCGTGGCGGGCCCAGCAGACCTGCGAGAGAACAGGACGGCTCGAAGGAGCCAGCCTGCACTGAGCGCCATTCCTGCCGCTCCTTTTTGTAGACGGGAGGGGAGCCCTGGACATGCGCGCTTTCTGGGAGGCGCGGGAGGGCAGGCGGGTGGTATCTGGCAGGCTCCGAGTGGAGTCTGCAGCTGAGATGTGAAAATGAAATAAGGTCAAACTGAGGGATTGAGGGCAAGTGACCAGGTTGGCTTGTCATTAACTTGCAGATCTTTCCTGCACCCCTTTCCCTCTAGGCTTCTCCACGTTGGGGAGCTTTGTGGGTGAAGCCAGAAGCCTGAGGTTTTGGGGTGTAGGTCTCCACTGTGGTTACGAGGGGCCCCTGTGCCTGAGCAACCTTGCTTCTCTCTCTGCAGGCTTGTGGGCCCCACCCCTGCGGGATCGCAACTGAGCGCACCGAACCTGCGCTCGCTAAGTCCGGTTTAAGCTTTCAGCTTCTCCAGCCCTGATAATGACACTCCTGAGGGTTCAGAGGCACACTTGGGGACCCTTTCTAAAAAGACAGACACCAGTTTGGTTTTTCTGCTCTTGTTGCAACCTGTTTAAGAAAATGCCTGATTAGCAAAGCCCTGTCATTTGCTAAAGCAAAGCTATAAAATCTGCCTAACTCACTTTTAAAGAGAAACCCACAAAAGGTTATCTCTTTAGTGACCTGGAGGAAGAGGTGGAGGACCCTCTTCTGGCTGGGGCCGTCAGCTAAGCCTCCCCTGGGCTTTGCACCGTGCTCCCTGCCCCAGAGGTCAGTTGATTTGTACATGTCTTAGGAGAAGGGAAAATAGCTCACAAAAAAAGGCTCCTCTTCCGAGAATGCTGCGTTCGGTGCGGCCTTCAGAGCTGGGAGTTATGGTAGTTGGGGGAGGGGCTCTAGGGTTCTTGTGGCCCCCACTGTCTTGTGCAAAGGGGACTTAGAAACAGCTGTTCTCGCCAGGGCTGTGAGATTCCCCTGCCGGGCTGGCTTCCACACTTCAGGCTGAGAACTTGGGAGTTTGTCCGTTGTTGCCGTGGGCTCTGTGGCCCCTGCCGGCTGGGATGCCTCCACTTCTGTCTGCCTCCTTTCCCCATTAGCATGAAGGCGGGCAGTGTGTCCATGCTTGCACTCTCTGGACTGGCACCGGAGCAGTTCCTCAGCACCCGCCAGTCAGTGAGTCAGCAGGCACAGGGCACGTTTTGACTGGGCTGCCAGGGGGTGATATGGTGTGCAAGGTGGTTCTGGCCCTCACCTTGACCATGCAGGCAGCAGAGGCTTGGAGGAGGAAGGCAGGCAGGTGGTAGGCCACGCTGCGCTGCTGCCTGCGCCCCTCCCAGTGTAAGATGTGGCCCCTCTCCCTCTCCGGGCTACCCATGCAGAGTCAGGGGGAGGAGGATGGCTTGAAGATCAGTGCAGCCCTGTGATGGGAGGAGGGCTTTCTTCCTCTGAAGTACCTAAAGATCAAACTGATGTTACTGGACCTTTCTCTTTGTCACTCTCCAGGTCTTGGTTTAAAGTTAGTAAAAGTTACCGAGTTGGGGTTCGCTGTGGTGCACATTTGGTGTAAGCATAATCTTAGATGTGCTGGGGGCGGCCTCGCAGGTGGTGGCCGCTAGGTGGATGGAGGAGTGGATTTCTCCTTGGAGCCCCACCCCCAAGGCCTTGCAAAGGTCCCTTGTCGCCCTGCCCAGCAAAGGAAATCAGAAGGGCAGTGCGCCCCAGGCTCCCTGGCCGCCCCTCTGCTGATGGCGTGGAAAGCAGGTGTTTCCCTCTCAGAAAGACAGGGCCAGCAGCAAACAAGGTCCTGGGCAGGCAGCATGCATTCCTGTGCTCTGCTGACCTCATTCGCTGGAAACAGAACATCCTTGTGGAGGTCACATGTGCAGGAGAGTTGCTAGTTACGTTTACTTGCATTTCACCCTACCTGCCTGGCCCATCCTGACTGCTTCCCTCTTTCCCCATGGTCCCCAGTGTGTGCCGGAAATGCTGCCCGGAAAGATACGCAAGGCCTGAGCAGGCCCAAAGCCATCAGGATGTAGCCCAGGCTCTGCCAGAGACCCCTGGGAATTGCCACGGGAGGAGAAGGGGCCTCTGGTGGGGGGTGCCCTGCTGCTAATCTCCTGAGTGACTTGAAAGATAACGTTCTCCTGTGTCAGCAGCAAAAGGTGACCGGTGAGGACAGTGTTCACTCTTGAGAGCTACCCATGTGACCGATAAAGGGTGTTCCAGAGGGCATCTGGGGCCCAGTCAGGGTGGTGCCCAGGCTGCTGCCCACCTGTAGAATCATGCCAGTGTCTGGGAGGGAGCAGGGTCTCTTCTGCGGCAGGTCCTCAGGGGGTTGGGGGGCCCGCAGAAGGCACACACGGGCAGGCCCCAGCCCTGGAGGCAGGGGCCTGGCCACTGCGCTCCAGGTCGTCGTCACTGCATGGCTGTGAGCTGAATGAGAACATTGGTGCCTTGGTTTCCCCCATGAGAGTCATGTCAGCAGGGCAGTGTTACCTAAGCTTGGGTTAGGAGACGGGAGCTCAGCCTTGTGCCTGGCTCTCTATGGACCCCCACCACGTGAACCAGCCCTGCTTAGTTATCATAGTCTGTGAGGAAGCTACTGCTTTTCAGATGAGGAAACCCCAGGCTTAGGAAAATTAAGTAATAGCTCATGATGACACACAGGCTGGCCCGGATGGGAGCCCAGCGGATGCTGTGCTCTCACCGCACTGTGCTGCCAGAGGACGCTCTGCACCGAGGGCGCGCCCAGAGCTCAGAGCACATGCGCATCCCTAGGCTGCAACTGCACAGGGCTTCTGAGCTCTCCTGAAATGCCCAGGGGCACCCCCTCTGTTTCTCTCCCAGCCTGAGATCAGACTGCGTGTCCAGAAATGGAGTTGAGGAACGGGTCTTTGAACAATGCTGGTATCTTCTTTTCTCTATGCTCTGCCTCCAGCGAGAAATTGTCCCCAGGCCACCCATGGATGGGTACTGGGAGGCCTGGCCAAGGTGGCTGGTCCCCTGGCTTCTCACCTGCCGTCCTGCTGACTGTCCTTGGCTCCCAGGCTCCATCCAAGCCCGGGGGCCATCCTAATAGTTGGCTAGGGCCTTGCCAACCCAATCCCGGAGCCTCTGAGTCTACGCTGTGGGCAGCCCTCCCTTCCTGCTGGCTCTCCTGTTGCCTTCTGAGATGCTCCACCCGCAAAAGCCCTCCAGCCGGGGCTCCCTGCAGCCCACAGATTGCTCCCGGGGGTTGCCTGAAGTCCTTGGGCAGGGCCAAGTGCTGTGCCCCTTCTGGATCCCCAGTGCCCACAGCACAGCCGGGACAGGAGGTTCAGGCCCCAGCTCGATGCCTTAGGAGCTGGGGGCCCTCCAGGGTTACTGCAACCCCTGGAGCTGCATCAGTAAAACAGGACTAGCAGTACTAGCCTCTCTGTTCTGGTGGATGACGATGGAATGTGTGTGTGTTAAGCTCTTGCCCTGGTGTCTGGTACACACTTAAGATTTCAACAAATGTCAGCTCCTTCAAAATAAAGACACTGAAAAATCCAGGGATTCCCAGACTTTGATGAGGAAGATGTTCTGAATACCATTCTGAGGAGGCCGGAGAGGGGGAAGCTCTGTCTCAGCTGGGGTTCCCCTGCAAATGCCAGGACTTCCTCAGGGCACTGTGGGCCTCCCCACAGCTACGCCCCTCAGAGCCTTCTCTCTCCTCCGCCCCTGTCTCTCCCTGCCTTGGCTCCAGCAGGAGTTTTTGCCCCAGCCCTTGATGGGAATGCTGTGGGCTCTGCCCTCTGGGGAGCGGTACCAGCCAGTGCTGGAGCTCAGCACCTGTTCCACGGCTGTGAGCCTGGCGGCTGGCTGGACAGCAGCTGGCCCTGGCGCCTGTGAGTGTTTGGTTTCTATTTGGGGTACGACGCATTCTTAACACGTTAGAAGCAGTTGTTGCTACACACCCATCAGAATCTAAGCTTCTTGAGCCCAAAATACAAATCGTGTGGTAAATGATACAAACACGAGCGCTTACACAGCGTGCCAGGTGCTCACTTGATGGTCCCAGCAGCTCTGTGAGGTGGAAGCCCACCATCTTCATGCTACAGATGAAGGAACCGAGGCTGGGAGAGGGAAGAAGGACGGCCTGCTAGGGTCACACAGCTGGCTGTCGAGCAGGTTCAGGATTCACGTGGGGGCCTGATTCCAGGGCCCATCCGCCTTCCCTCCACTTTCCCTCCACTTCCCCATCCTGTGGCTTATTTCTAAGTCGCATTTATTGAGGTCTACATGAACTACAGGAAACTTCACCCTTTGTAGGTGTCCAGCTCTGAAGTGGTCGTGGAATCGCGACCGGGTGAAGGTGTAGAGTTCCTCCACTGCCCCGGAGGCTCCCTGTGCTCTGTGGCCACTCCTGGTCCTCGCAGCCCGTTGATATGATACTTGGCCCTAAAGTCTTGCATTTTCCTGGGTGTCATCTCAGTGGAATCCTGCGGGATGAAGCCTTTTGGTCTGTCTCTTACTTGGCATGTTTTTTTCTTTTTTAACTAAGGTATCATTGATACGTAATCTTATAAAGGTTTCACATGAGCGACATTGTGGTTATTACATTCACCCGTATTATCAAGTTCCCCCCCACATACCCCATTGCAGTCGCTGTCCATCAGTATAGCAAGGTCCTTAGCGTGTGTTTTTGAGGTGCAGGCCGTCTCTGAGAGTGCCCACGCGCCGCCCCTCACTGCCATACCCCATGTGTGGCTGCGCCGTGAGTTGTCTGCTATGTGGTCACCTGCTGAAGGGTATTTGGGGTTTTCACTTTGGGCCAGTTTTGAATTAAGCTGCTGTAAACATTTGTGCACAGTGCAGATCTTAATTTCTTATTTCTGTTGGTTAATGCCTAGGAATGGGGAGGCCCCTTTCTCATAACAGCTGTTCTACACTGGGAAAGCCCTTCCCTTAAGAGCTTGGGCTGCAGGAGGCTCAGGAACAAAACCTCACGATGCAGGCGCTTAGCTCCTTAACCTCAGCTCTGCTCTTCTGGCCCAGCACAGTTGGAAACGCACGTGGACAGCCATGGCAAGAAATACCGAGGCCCACACAGCTTGAATGGCAGGAAACAAAAGTTGATTGGAGACAAACCTACTATTGTTCATGTTCTAGAAACTTCAGGAATGTATGAAGCAGCTTTCCCCCCAGCTGCTGGAACTACCTGTGTTTGGCGGGTGCTAGGGTAGTGTGAGGACGCATCCCAGCTGCTGCCTCTTCCACTCCGGCGCCAGTGCTGGGGGTGGCCCCAGTCTCCTCAGGAGGGCGGACCTGGTAAGGAGGCCCGCCAGCCCGGAGAGCGGCTCCGAGGGCGCTGGGCGGCAGTGGAACCCGGAGGAGAGGCACCTTGCAGTGCAGCCTCTCCACGCAGCCTGCACGCTCATGCTGAGGCCCAGCACAGCCCCCAGTCTGGTCACCCAGAGCCATTCCTCTTTCTCCCTTTCTTTCCCCACCCCCAGGACTATGTGTGTGTGTGAAAATACATGTAAGATTTACCCTTTTAACCAGTTTAAATGTACAGCTCAGTGGTATTAAGGACATTCATATTGTTGTGCAAGCATCCCCCCCATCCATCCATCTCCAGAAGTCTCTTCATCCTCCCAAACTGAAACCCTGTCCCCAGGAAATGTGACTCCCCGTGCCCCCTCCCATAGCCCCGGCACCCCACCAGTCTGCTTTCTGTCTTCTGGATTTGACCAGGTACCTCATATAAGTGAAATCATAACAGTATCTGTCTTTTGGGGACTGATTTATTTCATTATTCCGTAATGTCTTCAAGGTCCCAGAACTTTGTGAGCCTGAGATTGTCCCTTACCAGAGCTGACACTGGCTTTTGCATCCACTGCAGGGTGGGCCTTTTCTCTCCAGCTCACCCCCTGGGACCGTGCTGTCTGTTCCTTCCTGGGGATGCCGGCGTCAGCCCCCTCACTCCGCCCTGGCCTGTGCCCAATGAAGCTGCAGCAGCATGCCCCTGCCTCTGGTTGGGGACAGTTGCAGCGAGCACGCTGACTCCCCACTGTGCGGTGAGATTGCTGCGCTCCTGGTGGCATCCAGTGCCTGATTCCTAGGCTGGTATCCAGTCCCTAAGGTTGACTCCTAGTATGTCCCAAAGCCTGCAGTGCTGGGGCAGGGTGGGGGCCCCGCACGCTTATCCCTGTACTTATCCCCTGGTCCCTGTCCTTGTCACCTGCCACCCAGCTCCAGGCTGAGCACTGGCTGCGTCGCTGCTGGCCCTCCAGTGGCAGGGACCTGATCGGTGCTCACAGTGCTGCAGCCGCAGGTCTCGCCTTGGTGCCTGTTGAGAGCCTGTCTCTGATGCCCGGTGAGGGCTTGGAGGGGTGTTAGGTGAGCCTGGTGGTGGCTGCAGCCTCATGGTTGTGTGTTGTCCTACATCTGCAGTGACATCACACAAGTCTGAGTGTTGTGACCTTTTCATGACCTATGGGTGTACTTGGCCAGCCATCATGTCTCTCTCACCAAAAGTGTGAGCATTTTCATAATAAACAGGAAATTTCATTCACCTGCAAAAAAATGGACTTAGGTCTGTTGGCTGCAGCTTGAGGTGTTGGCCAGTAACCGGGTTTGCTGGCAGGACGGTGGGGGCGCTGGGCCCGGCTCAGGGCTCGTGGTCCTGCCGGCTTCGACTCCGCCGCTGCAGGTCAGAGGCTGCCTCTCCCTCCTCCTTCTTTCTCTCTCTCCGTCCTGTGCATCCTGGGCCCCCTGCCGTCAGGAGAGAGGGTGTGAGGCCCCATCCGTTGAGTCTGGGGGGCGAGCTCAGCCCCCAGGTGCTGTGTCCCGCACAGGCCCATCAGGGCGCCCCGTTCCTTACCTCGGGTCTGGCCTGGCCGCTTCCCCAGCTGTGTGGATCTGTGCTCGTCAGCTTGCGGTGGTCTCGGAGCAGTTTGATGGGGAGAAGTTGGGCCTCATTTTTGCTGAGAAGAAGCCGCTGTACAGTCCTGAGTCATCGCTTTCTCAGCGCTGACCTGTGTTCCAGAGGCAGCCGTGAAAGGCCGTGGAGCTGGGCCGGGGGGAGGCCCTGCAGCCTCCTCAGCCGCTCCCAGCCTCACCTCCTCGGCCTTCCTACTCCGGTTTTCTGCTGATGGCTTGGCTCTGGGTGTCTCTTCCCGTGGCTCTTGGAGCAGCTTCACAGTGTCTGGGGCTGTGGGGACCTTGTACTTTGGAACCAGCAGCCTGTGGTGGTGGCTGGCAGCTGGCAGTTGCTCCCTGCCTCCCCGACTCTGAGCACTGGGCACCTGGTAGCCTGGCCGTTTCCGACTGTCTGCACGGGGTTGGAAGGCTGGCTGCTGCCCTACTCGGGCTGAAGTTCAGACTCACAGGGACTGTTCTGCCGCCAACTGTGCCTCCCTCCACCCTGTGAGGGACTCCAGCCGGTGGGCTGCTTCTGATGAGAGCATCCCATTCCCTGGTGTGCTGGGACAGGGACAGGCTGCCTGCACTGCCCTGGCAAGTAAGGCTCCGTCAGCAGAAGCAGTAGACTTGGGGTTTTCCTTAAATTTCAGTGTCTTGCTACACGATGAAAGCTGGTCAGGTCAAACTTTTGTCACACAGTTCCTGACCAGAGATGTGGTTCCAGACCACTCAGCCCCTCATTCCCCTGAGCCCTGCCACCTCTCCCCTCGCCGGGGCCTGTGCCGGGAGCCTGAACATCACTTCATTTAATCCTCCCTGCGGTCTTGGAGGAGGAGTTATATTTTGAACTTTACACATGAAGAAAGCATGACTCAGAAGTTACGAACTTAAAGTCAGTAGTCAGTGGCTGGAGCCAGGAGTTGGATCCAGAGCTGCCTCTTTCACACTGTGTGCTTTCTGGGTGCCCGAGTGTGGGGAGAGGCCTGGAGCACTGGCATCAGGCGTGCAGACAGCTCTGGAGCACATTTTAACCCCGGCCACCTGGCAGCTGGAATGTTTAAGTGGAGCCTCACCTAGGCATGCCCCACAGTGGTAACGCTCGTAAAGCCCTTGTGAGGGGCTGGGGTTCTGGCCTAGATGGGAGTCTAGCCGTGGACTTGCGTTCAGCCTGGGAGGCCCGGCCGCAGGTTTCTTAGGGGTGGGATGGGGAGGGCTGCCTCATCATGGCATTATAGGTAGCTCTGGACCTTTTCTTGACATGTGGTCCCTTTCTCTGGTGCCTCCACCTACTACTTTTCTGTTCCCTGCAGGCTGGAGAATGCATGTTTAAATCCCAGATTAGGCACGGGATGCTGGGGGGATGAGGGGGTTGGTTTGGGCTGGTTTCTGGGCAGAGTCCCAGGCTCTTCTCTTCTGGAATACCTTCTCTGGCTTATTTTCAGGAGCCTGGCTATGCTCTGAAGTACTTGGTAATTCTTAAGAGGGCTGGCCTGTGTTTGGGCTGGCCTGTGAGTAGCAGGTGAAGAATGAGGAGACAGCCTGGGGACAAGCAGGTTTACCCAGAATCACCCAGAGAGGAAATGGCAGCTCAGGGGCTGGGACCCAGGCTTCCCAAAGAACTCTCAGGCTACTGTTAATACATTGTCTTTTTACTTCTCAGTATTCCTAGAAGGTGAGAAACAGAATTTTTACTTCTGAGGGCAATGGAAGAAGTACAAACATTTTGAAGACACATAGTTATAAAATAGGTTACAAATTAAACTGCTGTTACATAGACTGAAAAATCCATTGGTTTAAATCAGATGTCAGATAGTTCTATGAAAAATAATTGTCCAGGGCATCATGAGTATACAGCATTCATCTCTGAACCCAAAGTGGTTGCTCTAGCTCCTACCATCACATCTGCATTCCGGTCCTCAGGAAGGGAGGAAAGGACAAAGGACTCATACAACTCTTCTTGTCCATTTCTGCTGCCAGAAAGGCTGGGAAATGCAGTCTTAAGCTGGGGGGGCCATGGATCCAGCTGAAACTAGACAATTCTGTTATTAAAGGAAGAATTCCAGTTAATAGCCTCTGCCACAGATGGCACAATTCACCAAAGGGTCTTAATTCGTTAGTGGAAAACAACACAGAAAACAGTTGAGAGCTAGAGTTTATCTAGTCTAACCATTTCATGTTAGAGAAGCATTTAATACCTAGAGAGGGGAAGTCATTTGTAGTACTTCATAGGCTATTGTAGAGCAAAGGCCAGTGACATTTTCTGTTAAGAGTCAGAGTTAATATTTCTGGCTTTTCAGGCCTTATGGTCTCATCACAACCTCTGAACTTTTGCTATTGTAGACAAAAGCAGCCATAGACCGTACAGATGAGCCTGGCTGTATTTCAAATAAAACTTTATTTACAAAACAGATGATAGGCCAGATTTCACCCTCGAGCTATAGTTTAATTCCTATTGTAGAGAAAAAGGAGATTCCTGCAAAATAGTGAGCCAGGCATTGAATAAGTAGCAGCTGCAGGTGTTAACTGCTGCTGTATGTTGTCACTACTGCCCAAGGGCACCCAGCCTTCTCACCATGCTGTGCTGACTCATGCTGCTGGGGTCCCTCTCTGGCCATGGTCTGACCCACTGTAGAGCTTGGACTTTGTGACTTGGTTTGCGTTGTCTATTTGTTAAGTGCCTCTTTGTGCCAGGTGCCACTGGGTGAGGGTACTACCATGGTGGGTACAGAAATGGGAGGCCTGATGACCCTGCCCTCAGGTGCTGTGCAGTCCACGAGAGTACAGTATAGAAATGAAAATGAGCCCAGGCTGAGAAGTTCCAGGCCAAGTCGGAGACAGGACAGCCCGGCCCCCGGAGCCCCAGAGCTCACCCTTCTCTTCCTGCAGGTTATGACTTTGCAGCGGTTCTGGAGTGGTTTGCCGAGAGAGTCGACCGCATCATCCTGCTCTTTGACGCCCACAAGCTGGACATCTCTGATGAGTTCTCAGAAGTCATCAAGGCCCTCAAGAACCACGAGGACAAGATCCGAGTGGTGCTGAACAAGGCTGACCAGATAGAGACCCAGCAGCTGATGCGGGTGTATGGGGCCCTCATGTGGTCCCTGGGGAAGATCATCAACACCCCTGAGGTGGTCAGGGTGTACATCGGCTCCTTCTGGTCCCACCCACTCCTCATCCCTGACAATCGCAAGCTCTTTGAGGCCGAGGAGCAAGACCTCTTCAAAGACATCCAGTCCCTACCCCGAAACGCTGCTCTGAGGAAGCTCAATGACCTGATCAAGCGTGCACGGCTTGCCAAGGTAGGCCTGGAGGTGGGGATCTGGCCTGCTGTGGGCAGGATCGGTCTGCCATCCCCTCTGGGATACCCAGGACCCATCCTTGCAGACCTACAACCACACCCACCTTGCTCTGTGTCTAAACCAGTCCCCTCTGCACCTCAGGCAGCATTTTCTTAACTGATCCTTTTTCTTTTTTAACTTAAAAAAATTTATTACTAATTTTTTACTGGAGTAAAGTTGATACACAGTATAAATTAAGATTCTTAAAGCATGTAAGCATGAAACCAGAAGGTGCTGCTGCACCCAGAGGCGGCCTGAGCAGTTGGGGGTGGGGACAGCATCCTGCCCAGGTCTGTTTGGCCCTGAGGTGCACTCAGCATGGGCTGGGTGCTGGGGACACAGTGGGACCGACACATGTAGTCCCCACCCTTCTAGCACTCGTCAGCCGTATAGGGAAAGCAGACACACAAAGAGAATATAGCACAATATATTTGTGTTGTCATGGGGTTCTACCGAAGCAGGCGGGTCGGGGGGCCTTGGGAGGGAGCTGACGCTTAAGCAGGACAGGCTAGTTGTGGAGAGATGGGGTGCAAGCCTGAGGGTCCTGAGAAAATGCTGGGTAGCCCCAGCCCCCAAGAAGCATCCTAAGCCTTCCCCCCACCTCTGTGAAGCTCAGGCCCATTGGCACCTGCTGGCAGCATCTGAATTGCTCAGATCCAGAGTGCTGAATTTCATTACCTGCCCAGGTACGTCAGTGAGACCCCGAGGTGGCTGGGGCAGGGGAACAAAGGTTAATGCCACCTGTGCACCCTTCAAGCACTGCCTCATGAGCCTGCCTGGATAAGTCTTCAGGCTGGGTCAGTGTGCACGTGAGGCTCTCAGACCCTGGGGAACAGGGCTTGGCTGACAGCTCATGCCGGTCAGCGCTGGTGCGCATCACCGCGTCTGGTGAAACGGCCATGGAGAACGGGGGTGTTTACCTGTGGCGTGCATTCTGTGGGCATTGGCCTTTGGTGAAGGCCATCCTGTGGCCAGTGAAACAGCCACTCTGGGCTCCCAGGTATGAAGGACGCAGGTCCTGGAGGATCCAAGGGGAGCCCTGAGGGTGGTGCTCCGGCCACCAGGGAACCAGCTGCCCGTGTTGTGTTGCTCAGAGGTTCTGAGACTCTGCCGTGGGCTGAACAGTGGCCCTGGATACTGACACCATCTTGAGGCCTGAAGTCAGGGTGCCCTCTGTCCTGAGTAGTGAGAACTGATCCTTTATCCTTTACCACTGGGTTGCATTTCCACCCTGGTTACCCAAAGTGCTCATGGGCCAGACTGGAACATGCTGGAAGTGCAGCTTCTCAGGCCCTGCCCTGCCCTACTGAAGCGGAATCTGCTTTAGAATACCAATTCCCGGGGATCTGTAGGCACAGCACAGTTGTAGACACCTGCTCTGGAGGGGACAGGGCTGCACATTTTTCAAAATTTCTCCCTTCTGGAATCTTCCTGTGAGTGGAGCTGGTTCTGAGAAGGAAACACATGAGGAAACCCACATATGCTGCTCTTGGCCCCCTTTTCTAGTGGAGCCTCTGCTCTGGCAGCCAGGAAAGGCACTCTCCACCCTGTCCCCCAACCCTTACTGCCTCCCCGCACCGCTCAGCTGCTGCCTCCTGTGCACCAGCCCAGCTCTCCCAGCACAAAGGGCAGGCGAGTCTGGCTGGCTCTCCTGCAGAGGTGGCGTGTACGCGCCGGGCCCTTGGGCACTTTGAGTCACCAGGCCTGGAAAACCCCATGCTCTCCAATCTTGTCCAGCACCTGCTGCCTCCAGACCGCTTCCTTTTCCTGGAGTGAGTCCTGCTCTCTGCCCTGCTTGCGCTGGCCCGTGATAGGCGGAGTGGTGACTGCCGCTCCACAGGCCTGCTTCCCTCAGGCAGTTCTCAGCCAGGTGCCTGGCCCAGCCCAGCCTGGGGCAGACGGGGCCAGGCCCGGAGGATCTGGTGGGGCACAGCTGGCAGTCTAGGGGAGGGGGAATGCCTGGCTGCCTGCAGCCCTGCATGGGTGGGCATTGTTTGGCCAGGCAGAGGGATTAGAGAGCTGGTGCCCTCGAGAGCTGCCAGGGTCGCCAGCCCGCTGTGAGATGAAGGGTGTGCCGCTTTCAGCTAGCCAGTGTCTAGGCAAGGTATTGAGTTCAAAGTTCAGAACATCTGGGAAAAGCCTTATGGGATTCTTCTAATCCTTAGTCATCCCGAGGCTATCATGAGAAGGCGGAGCGTAGCTCAGGCCCTGCTGGAGTTCTGTGGCGGTGACATCAGCATCCACAAACTTGTGTAGGCAGGGTGGTGGGGCTCCACCTGGCTGTGTAGTAACCTGCTCCGGGTCTCTGCTGCGTGGAAGGGCAGCGGGGAGAGGGGGTGGGCCTGGAGAAGCAAAGAAAGTGGGCTTGCGGCTGCTTGGGGCAGTTCCTCGTTATAATCCCCACTGTCTGGGGCAGACACAGTGTCCAGGAAGCACCTGACTTTGCCCTTCCTGTGTCTTCACAGGTCCACGCCTACATCATCAGCTCCCTCAAGAAGGAGATGCCCAACGTCTTTGGGAAAGAGAGCAAAAAGAAAGAGCTGGTGAACAACCTGGGAGAGATCTACCAGAAGATCGAGCGGGAGCATCAGATCTCACCCGGTGACTTCCCAAGCCTCCGGAAGATGCAGGTAGAGCTGCCTTGGGCCCTAGGCGGGCGGGTGGTGACCTGGGGGTAGGAAGGCCCGGGCAGTGGGGCAGTGGCTCCGCGGGGAGCCCTGGCCCTTGGGATGGGGCCTCCCCAGTGGAAGCAGCTGTGTTAAGCCCCAGGACCCCACCCGAGTAGGAGAATTTGGCTCAGGCGTGACACTGTGGACAGGAATGTGGTGACTCACCATGAGCCCCAGGAAGAGGACGGGCTGCGTCAGGCCCTCTAGCGTCAGCCCAGTTCATCCTCGCCACAGCCCTGCCGGGAAGGTGCTGTTGTCCACTCCAGTTTACAGATTGGGGAGCCGAGACCCAAAGGGGTTAACTGAGTTGCCCAAGCTGTTAAGTGGTTGGGGCCGAATATGGAACCAGCTCTTTCTGCTTGGAAACTGTCACATCACCCACTGTGCCTGGAGTCTGAAGGCCCGACTCTGTCCTCCCTCCCCACCCCCTGCAGGAGCTCCTGCAGACCCAGGACTTCAGCAAGTTCCAGGCCTTGAAGCCCAAGCTGCTGGACACGGTGGACGATATGCTGGCCAACGACATCGCCCGGTTGATGGTGATGGTGCGCCAGGAGGAGTCCCTGATGCCCTCCCAGGCTGTGAAAGGTGGCGCCTTCGAAGGCACCATGAATGGGCCCTTTGGGCACGGCTATGGCGAGGGGGCTGGGGAGGGCATCGACGATGTCGAGTGGGTGGTAGGCAAGGACAAGCCCACCTACGATGAGATCTTCTACACGCTGTCGCCTGTCAATGGCAAGATAACAGGTGCCAATGCCAAGAAGGAGATGGTGAAGTCCAAGCTGCCCAACACGGTGCTGGGGAAGATCTGGAAGCTGGCCGACGTGGATAAGGATGGGCTGCTGGATGACGAGGAGTTTGCCCTGGCCAACCACCTCATCAAAGTCAAGCTGGAGGGCCATGAGCTGCCCGCAGACCTACCCCCGCACCTAATCCCGCCCTCCAAGCGGAGGCACCAGTGACCGGCCAGGCCAGGCAGAGACTGGGGAGGGGAAGGGTCGCCAGTTCTTGAGACCCATGAAGACTGAGCAGATGCTTCCTCAGCTCTTGAAAAGGAAAACCACCATCTTTCTCATAAGGTGGGAGGCGGGTGTTACTCGTATGTGAATGATGAAATTTTGTGCACAAGAAGTATGGATATTTTTAATATATAACATTCGAGGCAGCTTTCTTTCTTGCCTCTTTGTCTGACAGCCCCACGCACAGCCCCTGTCTTTGCCTCTGGCTCCGCTGCCCAGCACAGGAAGGCTCTGGTACCACAGGAAACCGCCTGCTCTGCTGCCCCAGCTCGCCTCCTGGCTGCCACTGCATTTGGACAGGACTGCTTGGGGTCCCCTGCTGGTTTCTAGGCTGGGTGTGGCTTTAGCCGGCCTCCCCCCTAGCTCTGCCGCCTCCCCCACGCTAGCCAGCAGAGTTGGTTCTGTGCCTTCCTCCTTCCCCTCCCTGGCAGCCCCCTGTGTGTGCGCCTGCTCTTTCTCTCATATCCCTCCTGGCTTGGCAGTCAAGCTAGGCCCAAGTACCTTTTTTTGCAGGAGTCTAGGGGACGGGTGGGTGTGAAAATATCTTCCAGAAATGTATATAAGCCAGTTTTTGTTCTGTAAAGTGATAGCTTTCATACTTGACTGAATTTTCCAGTAACTTTTCAACAACTTGTTCAGAAGCTGTGATTTTTGTCTCCTTCCAGGGGGCCTTTCCACCCAGGAGCACTTCAGTGTGGGGTACATGTAGAGTATACCCCAACAGGCCCCCCAGGGCTTATGTTTCCTCCTCACGCTCTCGCTCTCCTGGAACATGCTAGTGTATCCTCCTCCCCAGCCTTGGGAGGGTGGGGGGTCCTCCTGAACCTGAATGGCTGGTGCTTCAGCCTGGGCCTAGTGTCCAGAAAGCAGAGACCAGGGATGACCCGCACCTTCCCTCCTCACCCTTCTTCATTTCCAATGGAAGCCGTCTCCTACTCTGTTGAGCAGGGGAAGGTGACATGACGTGGATGCCATTAGAACAACCTCCCTCCAGGCTGAGCAGTGAGAAACCTGGGGTGGCAGTGGCCAGTGCGGGCTGCCCCATCTGTTATGCCTTGGCCAGGCTGTCCCAGCACAGCCTCGTGCCTGGACACCCTTGCTAGCCTCTTGCTGGCCAGTGGTCAGCCGACGGCCTGGAGCAGCATCGCCATGTTACTGTGGCAGGGGGAGTGGGCTTCCAATCAGGCGCTCCCATGGGGGTCTCAGGGACTCCTCCACTCTGACCTCTCCCACTCCCGTTCCCCTCCCAGTGCTGCCCTCTGGGCCTCCCCTGGGCCCAGGTCACTGGGAACTGGCCTTGTTACCTCCGGCTGGCCTCAGCCCGCCACTCCACACAGTGTTAGGTGAGGGTGGAGGCAGCATCCTCGTCGGGGATTCACTGAGGTGCAGTGACTTCTCTACACTCACCAGTAGGAAGAAAAAGCAACTGAAGACAAGACTTTTTCTTGAATTAAAAAAGTATAATTGTGCTGAAGCTGGCTTCCGGTGCTTAGTTATCTCTTCTGGGGGCTTGCTGGACGCTGGCAGAGCATCGGGCCAAGACGCCGACAGGGACAGATCGGCAAGCCTGCCATGGTGAGGGAGCAGCTCTGCGGCCTGCCAGCAGGGCTGGCGACCCCTTTGCTTGGGCAAGGTGGGAGCTTAGCAGTAGTTAATTTTGGGGGAGGGTGGGGTGAAGCGGCTAGGAGCACTTCTGGTCCCCCGCTGGGTCTGGAAGAAATTACCTGCCTCCTGAGGTCCTCACAGCAGCTCCTCCCACCTGGGTTCTGCCGGACAGGACAGACGGTGGGCACCCACGCAGCTCTCGGGGCTGGGATGGGTTAAGTGCAGGAGGCTTCACTGGGCTCCGTGCTAGCCCCCGGGTCATTTAGAGGCAGTGAGGCTGGTACTCTAAAGACAGACCAAGCAGATAAACCAGCTACAAAAACACAATTAGGACCTGCAGATGTCACAGATAGGGAACTACCAGCAGAGGGAAGGGTGACAAATTGAGAGCTGGCAAGCCATGGAAGCATAAGCCTTGAGGCGGGTCGGGGGAGACTGCTCAGGGCGCACTTGTAGCAAAAGGCAGGTTGCAAACAGATGCCAATGGGCTATGAGGGCCAGGTTGTGTGTGGTGGCCTGTGTGGCAGGCATCCAGTCTCATGGCTGGTTTCTGAGGTAGCGGCAGCTCACTGGGCCCCCCTCAGGGTTGGTCTGGTGCTGGGTTCGGAGCATGTGCGTGTGGGAGGAGATTCAAACCCGGGTCTGCTCACCTCCACAGCCTGAGCCCCACCTTTGTAGGTGTCGAAAGTATACTTCAAAATAAAAAAGCGTACAACTCACTGCACCCCCAAAGACCTCAGCTACAGGCATGGCTTTAAAAAGCCGACATTGAAGATTAAGTGCTGTCACTGCAGCCCAGGGGCCTGAAGGGTTGGGGTGGCCCCTCAATTTCCGGGTAGAGCATTCAAGCTGTTAGAGCACGAGGGGAACAGAACTGCCGGTCTCGGCATGGGCATGAGAAGCCCGTCCAGCTCTGCCCTTCCACTGAGCTGCCCCCAGTACAGTGTGGGGGCTTCCGGGCACTTTCCACACCTGGTGCTACCTCCCCGGCCCAGGGCTACCCCAGGAAATGACTGCTGCTCTGAGGCTTGAAGGGACTGAGGGCAGGTGCCTGCCTCCTCCTGCCCGGAGTTTGTACCCCTGGCTCAGGGTCTCCCAGTCTGGGATGGGGGTTCAGGGGGGACCAGTGAGTGTGGACAGAGGTGTAGCCACCCTCCTGAGGGCCAGCCCCTGCCTCCTTTCCTCCTCCCCAGCTCCCTAGCTGGCCAGGATCCTAGGGGAAATCCCCTCTACAGAGGCTCATCTGGGGCAAAGGAGCTGTTCCCACCTGCCCTCGGAGCCCCTGGAGTGAGGCCTTTGGGGCCGTCTGCCCTCGTGACGCCTCAGAGCCCAGGTGTACAGTGAGGTTCCACATGAGAGCTCATCAGAATCAACAGTCCTTTTACACTTCAGTAAACAGAAAAAGAGCCATGAACCAACCCGGTGTCCTGTTCTTATCTCCAGTGGGCTCTTGGCACTTGCTCAAGACGGTGACAGGTCAACACTCAGCCGCCAGTCCTGCCCCTCACCAGTCCAGGCCCAGGAGGTGGGAAAGCACACAGGGCAGGTGTCCAATTCAGGTGGCCCAGAGTGGCTGGTCAGGGTTGGGTTAGGACTAGTGCTGGGAGTCAAGCACCCCACCCAATCCCCAGAACAAAGAGGAGGACCCACCCTTCCGTGAAGCAGCTCGCAGACTTGGTGGTGCTCATGGGATGGAGGGGTGGTGTCTAAAGGGGGCTCTGAGCCTGGCTTCCTGTACACCCAGAGGGGCGGATAATTATAAAACCATGTGGGGCTGCAGCGCTGTGGAGCGTGGGAGCCCCTCTGGCGTGTTGGAGCAGCACAGAGAAGGGCTTTGGAAGAAAAGCCAGATGATGAAATCACCATATGTCCACTGATTTGGGGCTTTGGACTTCTCAAAAGGACACACCCCTGGTGTGCGGGCTGGGCAGGGGAGCAAACGTGTGACTGCCAAGGACTAGCTTGGGAAGTGGGGACCTTCAACCCTGCCGTCACTTGTCAGCCCCTTCCCCAAAGCCACCCCGATAGACACCTTTAAAAACCAGGTTCCTGAGTAGCAATGCAGCTTTACAGGAGCTCCCTACCCCTCTAACCACATACCCTTCCTAGAGAGACATGCTCCGGCAACCGCTGGTGTCCATTCCGTATACCGTTTATTAGGAACCTTGCTCTTGAGCTGGAGCAGTTCTCAGTTGTACACAGAAATAGCCACCCAGGAAGTGATTTTCTCAAGGCTACACTCTTGGTCAATGGCAGGCAGGCCTTATGACCTCATAGCCAGGCTCGTTTCCTGGCTGCCTAGGGCAGGAGAGGGTCGTTGCCCTTTTGGTGGCCAAGGGCAGAGGTGGCTGCCATCCCAGACAGCCCTCAGGAGCACCTGCTGAGAGCCAGCTTCCTCAGGCAGAGGCTCATCCTCGGCCACCAGGGATGAATCTCAACCTCGGGCAAAAGGAGCCATAGACCAGGCCCCAGAGGCCTGAGATGTGGCTGTGGAGGTGACAGACCCCAGAGCCTGCCTTGGGTCTGGGCTCCTCTCCGACCTGGAGGGCTATACTCTGGGGGTCAGAAAACCTGGGTTCCCTGCCACTGGCTTGCACTGGGCTCTCGCCTTCCCCCTCTCCTTGAGGTTCCCTCAATCTGAACCATCCTCTGTGCTAGGCCTGGGTTGCTGAAATGACAGTTTCCTTTTCTCACCATCTGAGGCCCTTCACAGAATCCTAAATCAAATCCACTGCAGGCTGGTCTTTCCCTGTCCGCTGTCCCCAGCTTCAGCACAACACACTGCCAGGCACTGGCTTAGGCCTAGAAACTGGGAAAGGAGTTCAGGGCTGTCGGTACCACCCACCTCCCACCTCCCCAGCCTCAAGGTATTAAGCTGCTAACCGGGTGGGGGGATAATAACTCTTTCCGGTTGCAAAGATAGCGTCTGCAGTCATTTTGAAATGCTAAGAAGCCCTGCTGGAATGCAAGTTGCTATCACCGTGATCTGTCTCCAAGAGTTAGTGCCAGCACCTCAATACCAAAGGCTGAGAATGGGGAGAAGTCATGGGGGGCCAGTGCCCTGCACCTGGGGGGGCATCCGGAAAGCAGTGACTGGGGTGTGGGTGAAGAGGAAGTGGGAAGAGGGGGTGGTGGAGGTCTCCTGCTCAGACTCACTCATCCTCTGAGCGTACACCGAGCTGGGCCAGGGTCCCTGCCACATGCAGGGCTCCCTGGGGCAAAGCCTCTGTGGCCCTGGCAGTCTGGCTTACACAGGATCTGTGAAAAGAGCTGCTGGGGCAAAGCAGGGCCCATTTCGGATGGCAGGGCTGTAGGCCTGGTAGCTGGCTGGGGCTGCAGCAGGTGTTCAGGCACAGTCTTAAAGGCTTTCTGACCTTGGTACTTCAAAGGAGTGGGCAGAAAACCGGACCCCCTTTTAGAGACAAGGAAACTGAGGCTTGGAACAAGGATGTGACCAAATATATATATATATATATAGGACTAAACAGAATCAAGTACCAAATGGGTGGGGAGTGCCAAGTGCCAGTCCCAGCTCTGCCCCACGCAGACCTCAGTACGACAGTTTTTGCCCTCTGGGATTCAGTTTCTCCTCTGGAACTGGAATATGTGGGGATGGACTTGTTAAACTGACCGAGGTCACACAAGGAGTGAGCCAGCACCTGGAGGCTTTCCCAGTTGGCCTGAGACTACCCCCCTGGGGGCTGTGGTGGGGTGGGGCTGGGGGTCAGCGTGCCTAAGAGGGGTAATGAGAAATGGCCCATCTTCCCACCCAGGACCCTTTCCCTACCCTCTACTACTCCAGGAGATGGTAACTTGGTCCCACCCTGAGCATCTGGCCCTCCTCTGCTCTCTGGCACCTCCCTGTGGCCTTCAAGGGCAGGAACCCTTTTCCAGGACCCCACCCCTGCTCCACCTCCACACAGAGGGCCTAGAGTGCTTCAGGTGAGAGCCTGGAGGGGTTCAATCGCACCACCTGAACTCCCGCCCTCCACCCCTTTCAGGACACAGAGGCAGTGATGTCATCCCCAGTCTTGGGTTTGAATCCTGTCACCTCTTCCCCCACCTGGACGACTTCAGTGAGACAGCCTGACTCTGTTTCCCTTTGTCACAGATGGCAGGCGCTATGAGGCCAAAGGGCAGGTCTCTGGGGACATCAACGGGAGACCTGTTGGGAAGCTCGTAGGTGCTACCAACGAGGCTCAGCGGAGCTCCACATTCAGAGACCACCTCCTCCCTCAGAGCTGGCAACTTGGCCCTGTCTAGAATCAAGGGGGTGCCTGTATGAGAGGGAAGCCAAATCCCCAAAGAGATCTCTTAATGGAAGAATTTGTTGTCTGAAGCCACTAAAAGCCCTGCCCTTTGATCCCGCATCTGGGACAGAGGCAGTTGCATGGCATCTGAACTGGCCCAAGAAGTCAGGAATACCACTGGACAGATTCAGTCCCTCCCCTCTGCCACCTCCTTCAGCCCAGCTCTGACTCTCCTTGGCCCTCACATTTAGGTCAGCTACCAGCGCAGCCCCACTCCAGAATCTAGCTGTAAGGCCTCCTCCTCCTCAGCCCCTCCTCACTCACGCCTTCCTACGCCTCAATGTGCCCATCTGCCAAATGGGTGTAACCATCTCTGTCACCTGCCTGACTCCCAGATCCTCTGTAATAATGCAAATGCAATGAAATCAGAAACTACCTAGTTTTTCGTACGGGGGTGCCAAGCGCGCCGGCATTCCGGGGAGGGAGCGGACTACAACTCCCGTCCGGCTCCGGGGCCGCGGGCATCCCCAAGCCCCTCTCCCTGAGCTGAGAGACAAGTGGCTGCTGTCCCTGGGGACGGAGGAAGTTGCAGTGCCCCGGGAATTCCCCACCTAGGTTAGGGTAGAGTTGGATCTGGGGCCGTGCGGACACGTAGGCTGTCTGCCTGTCTCCCTCCGGACACCCCTTGCCCCTCCCAGGTTACTCTTTGGAGTTCGCACCCCCAACTTCCTGGCCGAAGGTTGGCCCCGCCCCCCGAGCCTCCGCCCCTCCACCCTCACCTCCAGTCGCGTCCCCCATTGGCCAGCGCTCACCTGTCCGTCCGTCGGGGGCGGGGCGGAGGGCGGGTCGCAGCGCGCAGGTGAGGGCGCGCAGTCTGCCGCGGAGGAAGGTGACAGCGGGGCGGGCGGGAGGGTGGGGGGAGGACGCGCGGACGACCCGCGGAGCAACAGACAGACTGACGGGCGGGCATGCCGGAGGCCCGGCTATAGCCCGGGCGCGGGGCTCCGGCCGCGGCCATGGAGCGGCGGCTGCGCGCGCTGGAGCGGCTGGTTCGGGGCGAGGCCGGCGGCAGACCCGGGCTCGACGGCCTCCTGGATCTGCTGCTGGGGCTGCACCATGAGCTCAGCAGCGCACCGCTGCGGCGGGAGCGCAACGTGGCGCAGTTCCTGAGCTGGGGTGAGTGGCCCCGGGGCGACACAGGGTGTTGGGACCCTAGGGACACGGCGCCGGGACCCTCGCCCCCTTCAACCCGCTCCACACCTCCAGACCATCCGGCAGGGATCCGCGTCCACAGGCTGTCCTCGCAGATGCCCCGCACCGGCCCTGACACGTGCCACCGGACCCGCGGGCCCTCTGTCACCTGCATACTTTAACCTTGCTCCGTTTCACACACACTCCTCCTCACCTGCAGAACCCGGCGCGCGTGCACAACACGCATCTCACACAGACACACACACAAACTTGGTCTCAGGGATAGACACCAGACACGTGTACACAGTACAGGCTCTATAGAAACTCATGGCCAGGATTACTCACTCACAGCCATACCTCCTCACCAGTGAGAATACACTCATACACACAGACCCCTTGCATGCCATGCACTAACACACACGGTCTCCCACATGCCACACAGACATGTCGAGACACTCAAATAATACATGGCTCATGAAGACGCCTAGGAAGTCCTATGCTTTACTCTGGAGAGCACCCCCAACCAACTGGCTGTTCCACTCACCTACTGCCGTTTACAGATCTGTAGGTATTGCACACTTGCAGCTATCACCCTCCTCCAGCCCCCTACATTTCTATCTCCCTGCACACAAGACCACCCCAGACTGGACTCAGGAACAAACCTCAGCCTCTTTGTGCAAGCCGCTGGCCAGGCTTCCTGAAGGCTGTTCCCCAGGGCCAGGGAGGGGGGCCTTGGCTGAGGTGGGTCTGCACCCCTTCCTGGTTGACTCATCTGAGTCACTGGCAGTGGCTGGCCTGGGGTGACCCTGAACCCAGTGTGGGTACCCGTGCCAACACTAGGGCTCCCTGGTCACACCTGGGCAGGCCTTGGGGAGGAGAGCATAGGGGCCTTGCCAGGAGGCTGAGGGAAATGGATGTTTGTTTGCCCAGTGGTCTTCTAGTGTTCTTGGCACTCCTGAGCCCAGGGCAGGCGCAAGGCCTGGCCTGGCACAGCTGGGGAACTGTGAGACATGCCAGTGAGTTGGCCCCCAGCCTCAGCCCTTTCCTCCAAGGTGAGGGCAAAGTGCCCCTGCCTCTGCTGGGGGCCTGTCTCCCCAGGAGTTCCGCACCTTATTCTTGTGTGTGTCCATGTCGTCATCATCCCCTGTGACACCCACACACGTGTGTGTTTGCACACTCACGGGCTCCTCCCTGCCTGCCTCTGGCACCTCTGCGTGGGACCCCGGCATGGGGGCCTGTCTGTTGACATCTCCCGAGGTAACTTTCAGGGCAGTGACTCACTCCACTCCTGCACCAACTCGTCCTTGCTCCGGCCTGGAGCCCCCATCACTTGCCGCAAGGTGTCGGGACTGGGCCATCTGTCCCGGGGGCCTGGATCCTGGCTGTGGGCCCCAGGTTTTGGCCCCTGTCTGGCTAATGGGTAGCCATCCTGGCCTCAGTTCCCCCTCAGGCCGGTGGCTACTCCTCCCCAGCTGCGTACACAGACCTGGGAAAGAAACAATTAATTTCTGTGAGGAGGTTTCCACACCGCCCCTGCTGCAGGGGTTCTGCCTGATAAACCTGTGGAGCAGCTCTCTGTCCCACCCACAGCCCCGCCCAGCTGGCAGGGAGTTTTACCACCTGGCAGGGGGAAACTGAGGCAGCGAGCCAGACTGCAGCTGCCCCCAACCCTTACTGGTCACTCATGCCTCCCTAAGTTCCCAGGCCCCAGTTCCCTCCCCCAGGTCTGGGAGGGGCTGGAGATACTCATGGGAACATCAGGGACTGGGAGGATGGGCTGCTTCTTGCCAGCTAAAGGCTGCGTCCAGATCGGGAGGCAGAGCTGTCGGGCTGGTCAGGCCTGGAGGAGACCCTGAGTCCTCACACCCTCAGGTGCCAGCGTCAGGTGCCAGGGAAAGGTTTTTTGGCTCTATTTTTGAGTCTTGTGAGAACCTGGGCAGACTTATCTATGCCTCCAGACGGAGGAGGCCCTTTGGGGAACACAGGCTGTGCTCCCAGAGCCCTGCAGAACCACTGTTCTACCTGTCCTCCCCGGCCGCCCCAGGCCTCACCCCCAGCCAGATACCTCTGTGTCCACAGGGTCCCAGGACTTGGGCCCACAGCTCCTCAATGGCAGAAGCCTCTCTGGGGACAAGGAATGTTGCCTGTCCAGTTTCCCAAGACAGGCCCCAGCCTGGTCCTGCTAGGGGGCCAAGAACTGTGAGCTGGGGGTGGGAATGGTATCCTCATGTCCCCAGGGTCACCTGGCCAGCCAGGCTCAACCCCCAGGCTGGGGGAGACTACAAGTTCCATCAGCCCCTGGGATGAGGGTCACCTGGAATCTGGAGACAGAGGTCAGAAGCCATGGATTCAGGTGGTCAGCAGAGCCAGGACCCCGCCTTCCCTGCTTCCTGATCATAGGCAGTGCCTATCAGCCCCTTGGATGGCCTCATGGGAGTTGTAGCTCCTGGGACCCTCCCAGCCTCCCTGAGCCCAACCCTGTGCTCCCCAGCCAGCCCCTTCGTAACAAAGGTGAAAGAGCTGCGGCTGCAGAGAGATGACTTTGAGATCTTGAAGGTCATCGGCCGAGGGGCCTTTGGGGAGGTGAGCCAGAGGCTTGGGGACGGTGGGAGGAGGGTGTTTGCACCCAGGCTGGCTGACCCCAGCGCTCCCTCTGGCCTCAGGTTGCTGTGGTGAGGCAGAGGGACAGTGGGCAGATTTTTGCCATGAAAATGCTGCACAAATGGGAGATGCTGAAGAGGGCCGAGGTCAGTCTGGGGTCTGATGGGGCTTTGGCACTCAGCAGATGGGCCGGGGAGGCGAGCACTTCCAAAGAGGCATTGGGCATGCCCTGGAAGGGGGAGGGGCGGGAAAGGCCTGAACAGGCAGAGAATCTGCCCCCAACAGCTGCAACTTTCCCCATCCCTTCCTTACAGTAAGCTCTTCTTAATTTCTTAGAAGCAGAGTGCCCATTTTCCTTATGGTAACATTGAGGCTCAGAGCCATAAAGCATGGACTTGGGCTCATGCAGGCAACCTCAATCCAAGCTCCCCGACTTAGTGATTTTTTTCTCCATCCCCTGGGCTGGCAAGGTGGGTTCTCTGGGCTCTGATTCCATGCAACCCCTGCTCCCCAAACTTGCTGCAGACGGCCTGTTTCCAGGAGGAGCGGGATGTTCTGGTGAAGGGGGACAGCCGTTGGGTGACTGCTCTGCATTATGCCTTCCAAGATGAGGAGTACCTGGTGAGGATACTCAGCGATATTGGAGGAGGGTTGCCTGGGGACAACGGAGAAGGTCCTTGGGGGCCAAAGGCACTGGGTCCAAAGAAAGAGAGAGAGAGAGAGAGAGAAAGAGAGAGAGCCCTCCTTTGGGGCCAGGAAGCTCCCAGTTCCCACAGCTCCTGGGACCAGAGCCTCCTGCTTGAACTCCAGCTGGTTGCTGGCTGCCCCAGAGCTGCTGCTGGGAGACACCGCCTTGCCTTCCAGAGCCCAGTGGGACCACTGGGAAGGGGGAAGCGGGGCCCTGGTGCAGGTGCCTGTACCTTCCCCATCTGATTCTCGCCCCGCCCCACCCCCCAACCAGTACCTGGTGATGGACTACTATGCCGGCGGGGACCTCCTCACTCTGCTGAGCCGCTTTGAGGACCGCCTCCCGCCTGAGCTGGCCCAGTTCTACCTGGCCGAGATGGTGCTGGCCATCCACTCTCTGCACCAGCTGGGCTATGTGCACAGGTGGGGACCCCCAAAAGCTCCCTCTGCCCTGCTCGAAGGGCTGTGACATGTGCCAAGCACTCACCATGTGCCAGGCCCTGTGCTGGGTGCTTCATATGCACAATGCCTTTGAGTCCTCACATCAAAACCTTATGTGATGAGGGCTGCTATTGTCTCCACTTTGCAGACAAGGAAGTCTGAGCTTGGCACAGGTAAACACCTGGCTTGAGGTGACTCAGCTGGCAAGAGGCTGAGTTTTGGTTTGCCCTGGGAAACTCTGAGTCTTGCATCCCCCACGGCACCCTCTGCTGCCTCCAAGGGTCATCCGAAAGGATTAGATTCTCCAGGCTAACCATCTTCTTCCTTCCTTCTTGGGAGCCAGGAAGCCTGGCCACCAGCCTTCTCACCTCCCATATGCATGCACACGCGTTACTGTCATGTGCTCACAGGAACACGTGTGAGCATATACACGCTGGTGCATGCATACCTGGGCATGTCCTAGATGCACATACCCACAGGTCAAGCCCCTCATTCTCCTTCTTCTCCCTCAGGGATGTCAAGCCTGACAATGTCCTGTTGGACATGAATGGGCACATCCGCCTGGCTGACTTTGGCTCCTGTCTGCGTCTCAACAACAGTGGTATGGTAAGGACCTCGCCCCAGAGCTGGGTCAGGGGACACCCGCTGGGAGGGTTCCCAAGGGAATGGGAGGCACCAGGCCTAGCCTAGAGGGTATCAGATTCCCAGGGGAAGGAAGGGCTTGCCAGGGCAGGGAGACACCAGGCCAGCCGAGCCCTAGCAAGTGGGGGTGCCAGGCCCAGACCTGTGGTCATGGTGAGGGGCCAGCAGCCTCAGCCAAGCCCAACACTGTCCTTCCTCGTGGTATCATCAACACCACCACCTACAGGTAGATTCGTCTGTAGCAGTGGGGACACCAGACTACATCTCCCCTGAGATCCTACAGGCCATGGAGGAGGGCAAGGGCCACTATGGACAACAGTGCGACTGGTGGTCCCTGGGAGTCTGCGCCTATGAGCTGCTCTTTGGGGAGACGCCCTTCTATGCTGAATCCCTGGTGGAAACCTATGGCAAGATCATGAACCATGAGGTCTGGCCACCAGGCTCTGGGCTTCCAGGAGGGAAGTGGGACTCCTGAGTCTGTACAGGTGGGGATGCCCGCAGGCAGGGGTGGGATCCTGCATGCCCACCCACACCTCTTCCCTGGGCCTGCAGGACCACCTGCAGTTCCCCCTGGATGTGCCTGGTGTGCCAGCCAGTGCCCAAGACCTGATCCGCCAGCTACTGTGCCGTCAGGAGGAGCGTCTGGGCCGTGGGGGGCTGGACGACTTCCGGAACCACCCATTCTTTGAAGGCGTGGACTGGGAGCAGCTGGCGACCAGCACTGCCCCCTATATCCCTGAGCTTTGCGGGCCCATAGACACCTCCAACTTTGACGTGGACGATGACACCCCCAACTATCCAGTGAGTGGTGGGTCTCACTGAGGCAGGAAAACTGCCTTGACCATCACATTGCTGACTGTGGGAAACCCCCAACTCATTCCCGAAAGCAGTTACTGGGCTGGGGATGAGGCCTCCGGACCTCAGAGGCTCATGGGAGTTACAGTTCACCTGGGTTGGTTCACCTGCACCGAGGTGGGTTGTGGCAAGCAGGGGTCCTTTGACCTCCAGGGTGTCATCCTATTCACCAGAGGTGGTATAAAGATCCCCAGCAGTGTCTGGGAGGCCATAACCTCAAGGACTCATGGGAGTTGCAGTCTGTTTAGGTGGGGACTACGGTACTCTCCTAGTTCCCACCTGAGCAGGAGGTCACCACTCCCAGCCCCAGGGGGCATCCTGGGTCTCGAGCCTCTGCCTGGAGCTGTGCCTGTTGACTCTGAGTCTCCTTCCCCTCCTGCAGGGGACTCTGCCGCCACCTTCCCATGGGGCCTTCTCGGGCCACCACCTGCCATTTGTGGGCTTCACGTATACCTCAGGCAGGTAAGTCTAGTCTGTACATACCTTGTGGGAAGCTGGGGGGCTGCCTGACCTGGTGGGTGCTGGGAGAAAAGGGCCGCATGTGACAGGTGCTCAGGAAGTGAGCTCTGAGTCCTCAGGAGGCTGCCTGCCAGGGTTCAGGGTCCGCTGAAGCCACACCCATGTGCCCTCTGAGTCCTGCTCCAGCATTTGCCCCTCGCGGTACCCTCCACCGCAGGCTGAGAGTACCAGATTTGGGCCCAGAGGCCTGGAGTTGGAAGAGCCCTTATGGTCCCCCAGCCTCACTTTGTGCCTCTGTATGAAATGGGCGGGATGACCTAATTCCATTTGTGGAGCCTGAGACTGAGCAAGGTCCGGCATGAGAGGGTGCTCTGATGTACAGGCGAATGCGACTGGCCCGCACTCATCCAGTGCCCAGAGCGTGCTGGGTGCGGGCCATCTGGGCCCATCTCAGAGTCCTTTTGGCACTTCTTGGGAGAGGCCCTGTTACTGCCTCCATTTTCCTGCCTTGGGCTGCTACCCCTGGGTCTCCTGAGGGCAGAGTCTGTCTGATGTGTTTCTCTTTCCAGAACAGAGCCCAGGGTTGGGTACAAAGCTGATGCACAGTTGTTGTTTCTTGGGTGAATGAATGATTGGATGCAGGAGGATGGGGGAGGCTTTGGGGGACTGGGTCTCTGCCAAATTGTGTTGCCTTGCTCTTCGCAGGCCCGGCCCTGAGAGTGGCTCTGAGCAGCTGGCTGCTCTGGAGCAGAAACTCCATTGTCTGGAGCAGGAGAAAATGGAGATGAGCCAGAAACTCCAAGGTACAGGGGAACCAGATAGGCTGTGGGTGCGGGTCTGACCCAGGGCTGCTGCTGCCGACGGCTACTCACCCGTGGGTGTCCTCACTGCAGAAGCCCTGCAGAGCCCCTCAGACCACCGGGAGCTAGAGCAGCTTCGGAAAGAGGTGCAGACCCTACAGGACAGGCTGGCAGGTATTCGCCCCACCCACCGCCCCTTTTCTTCCTCCTACCCTCACCCTGGTGGCTAAGCTGCTTTCCCAGCATACCTGAATTCAACCTGGGTTCCGATCCTGCCCGTTCTGTATGTGTTGTGTAGTCTTAGAGAAATAGCTTAAACTCTGAGCCTGCATATAGAAAATAAGCCAAGGAGACCCACCGCCCAGACTATGGCAAGGGTTCCTTGAGATACCACATGTGGAGTGCCCCCTGGCTTAGGTGGTCAGTATGTGTGGGTCTCAGTGACAATTCCCGGCAGAGATGCTGAAGAACAACAAGGCCCCCTTGTCCCAGATGGATGGGCCTCCTGCTGGTAGCCCAGGCCAGGCCAGTGACCTACAGCAGGAGAGAGACCGACTCCTACAGGTGAGGGCCTGGTGAGGTGGGGGTGGCCCAGGGCTCCATGCTAAGGAAGTCCATATCCTGACCCATGCTGTGCCCTCCCCACCCTGTCCCCCAGGAGCTGGCTGAGGCTAAGGCCAGGCTTCAGGTGCAGAAGCAAGACCTGTGCAGAGCCCAGGGGGGGCAGGAGGAGCTGCTCCACAGGCTACAGGAGGCCCAGGAGAGAGAGGTGGCCATGGCCAGCCAGACGCAGGCCCTGAGCTCCCAGCTGGAGGCAACCCAAGATGCCAGGAGGGAGGTGAGTGATGGAGAGGGTCGGGGACAGCAGCAGATCCCTGCCCCCTGCCCCTCAGTGTGACTGGAGGAAGGCTGGGGAGCTTGGGGTGAGGTGCTAAGAACACTTTGCACCTGCCACTGTGGCTGACAGGCCTGAGCAAGGGGATGACGTTTCAGGTGGGGTGGGCCAGGGATTCACCACCCCCACTCCAGCTGGGACTGGCAGAGCCTGAGAGTCTGCATGTAGCAAGGCGGGGCAGAGGGTTAGCGTGAACTAGGTCAGTACGGACTGCCTCTGTATCTATCACAGCTGCAGGCCCAGGTGGCCACCCTGAACCGGGAGGTGACACAACTCCGGAGACAGCAGCAGCGAAGCCTTGAGAAGGAGTCTTCCCAGGTCAAGGTAGTGAGGTCTTACCCCTGCCAGTGGCACCTCCCTTGGCCTGAGCCACTCAGGGCCCTCAGGGCCAGGCCTGTGTTGCAGGGGTAAGGTGGGTCATGGCTCCTCAGGCCCTTCCCTGCCTTCTCTCCACGTCCTCAAGACTGTGCACACCACTTCGGAGACCAATGGAACAGGATCACCAGAGAGGCCACAGGAAGCCCGGCTGAGGAAGGAGGTGGCTGCCCTGTGTGTGCAGCTGGAGCAGGCCCAGCGCCATGGGTGAGCTGGGCAGCTGGGGCCGTGGATTGGGTGTGGGCCTGAGCTGGGGGTCACCTGGTTATCTGCTCTTCTCCAGGCTGAGTGGGAAGGAGGAGGTTCTGCACCAGCTACAGGAGGAGAACCGGCGGCTGAGCCAGGAGCAGGAGCGGGTGAGCAGGGCAGATGGAGGGCAGAATAGGCAGGCAGGCAGTGGGGCAGGTAGGGAGCCGGTGGGGTGGGTGGCCAGAGCCCCAGGGCAGGCTGTCTCTCCTGCCCTGGAGTACTCACAGCTGGCGGGCCGCTGTAACAGGTGGACAAGAGTGGACACACACGGGATCCAGGGGTGCTGGGGCCCCTGGGGACTGACCCAGTGGGTTCTCTGGGCTCTGATTCCATGCAACCCCTGCTCCCCAAACTTGCTGCAGACGGCCTGTTTCCAGGAGGAGCGGGATGTTCTGGTGAAGGGGGACAGCCGTTGGGTGACTGCTCTGCATTATGCCTTCCAAGATGAGGAGTACCTGGTGAGGATACTCAGCGATATTGGAGGAGGGTTGCCTGGGGACAACGGAGAAGGTCCTTGGGGGCCAAAGGCACTGGGTCCAAAGAAAGAGAGAGAGAGAGAGAGAGAAAGAGAGAGAGCCCTCCTTTGGGGCCAGGAAGCTCCCAGTTCCCACAGCTCCTGGGACCAGAGCCTCCTGCTTGAACTCCAGCTGGTTGCTGGCTGCCCCAGAGCTGCTGCTGGGAGACACCGCCTTGCCTTCCAGAGCCCAGTGGGACCACTGGGAAGGGGGAAGCGGGGCCCTGGTGCAGGTGCCTGTACCTTCCCCATCTGATTCTCGCCCCGCCCCACCCCCCAACCAGTACCTGGTGATGGACTACTATGCCGGCGGGGACCTCCTCACTCTGCTGAGCCGCTTTGAGGACCGCCTCCCGCCTGAGCTGGCCCAGTTCTACCTGGCCGAGATGGTGCTGGCCATCCACTCTCTGCACCAGCTGGGCTATGTGCACAGGTGGGGACCCCCAAAAGCTCCCTCTGCCCTGCTCGAAGGGCTGTGACATGTGCCAAGCACTCACCATGTGCCAGGCCCTGTGCTGGGTGCTTCATATGCACAATGCCTTTGAGTCCTCACATCAAAACCTTATGTGATGAGGGCTGCTATTGTCTCCACTTTGCAGACAAGGAAGTCTGAGCTTGGCACAGGTAAACACCTGGCTTGAGGTGACTCAGCTGGCAAGAGGCTGAGTTTTGGTTTGCCCTGGGAAACTCTGAGTCTTGCATCCCCACGGCACCCTCTGCTGCCTCCAAGGGTCATCCGAAAGGATTAGATTCTCCAGGCTAACCATCTTCTTCCTTCCTTCTTGGGAGCCAGGAAGCCTGGCCACCAGCCTTCTCACCTCCCATATGCATGCACACGCGTTACTGTCATGTGCTCACAGGAACACGTGTGAGCATATACACGCTGGTGCATGCATACCTGGGCATGTCCTAGATGCACATACCCACAGGTCAAGCCCCTCATTCTCCTTCTTCTCCCTCAGGGATGTCAAGCCTGACAATGTCCTGTTGGACATGAATGGGCACATCCGCCTGGCTGACTTTGGCTCCTGTCTGCGTCTCAACAACAGTGGTATGGTAAGGACCTCGCCCCAGAGCTGGGTCAGGGGACACCCGCTGGGAGGGTTCCCAAGGGAATGGGAGGCACCAGGCCTAGCCTAGAGGGTATCAGATTCCCAGGGGAAGGAAGGGCTTGCCAGGGCAGGGAGACACCAGGCCAGCCGAGCCCTAGCAAGTGGGGGTGCCAGGCCCAGACCTGTGGTCATGGTGAGGGGCCAGCAGCCTCAGCCAAGCCCAACACTGTCCTTCCTCGTGGTATCATCAACACCACCACCTACAGGTAGATTCGTCTGTAGCAGTGGGGACACCAGACTACATCTCCCCTGAGATCCTACAGGCCATGGAGGAGGGCAAGGGCCACTATGGACAACAGTGCGACTGGTGGTCCCTGGGAGTCTGCGCCTATGAGCTGCTCTTTGGGGAGACGCCCTTCTATGCTGAATCCCTGGTGGAAACCTATGGCAAGATCATGAACCATGAGGTCTGGCCACCAGGCTCTGGGCTTCCAGGAGGGAAGTGGGACTCCTGAGTCTGTACAGGTGGGGATGCCCGCAGGCAGGGGTGGGATCCTGCATGCCCACCCACACCTCTTCCCTGGGCCTGCAGGACCACCTGCAGTTCCCCCTGGATGTGCCTGGTGTGCCAGCCAGTGCCCAAGACCTGATCCGCCAGCTACTGTGCCGTCAGGAGGAGCGTCTGGGCCGTGGGGGGCTGGACGACTTCCGGAACCACCCATTCTTTGAAGGCGTGGACTGGGAGCAGCTGGCGACCAGCACTGCCCCCTATATCCCTGAGCTTTGCGGGCCCATAGACACCTCCAACTTTGACGTGGACGATGACACCCCCAACTATCCAGTGAGTGGTGGGTCTCACTGAGGCAGGAAAACTGCCTTGACCATCACATTGCTGACTGTGGGAAACCCCCAACTCATTCCCGAAAGCAGTTACTGGGCTGGGGATGAGGCCTCCGGACCTCAGAGGCTCATGGGAGTTACAGTTCACCTGGGTTGGTTCACCTGCACCGAGGTGGGTTGTGGCAAGCAGGGGTCCTTTGACCTCCAGGGTGTCATCCTATTCACCAGAGGTGGTATAAAGATCCCCAGCAGTGTCTGGGAGGCCATAACCTCAAGGACTCATGGGAGTTGCAGTCTGTTTAGGTGGGGACTACGGTACTCTCCTAGTTCCCACCTGAGCAGGAGGTCACCACTCCCAGCCCCAGGGGGCATCCTGGGTCTCGAGCCTCTGCCTGGAGCTGTGCCTGTTGACTCTGAGTCTCCTTCCCCTCCTGCAGGGGACTCTGCCGCCACCTTCCCATGGGGCCTTCTCGGGCCACCACCTGCCATTTGTGGGCTTCACGTATACCTCAGGCAGGTAAGTCTAGTCTGTACATACCTTGTGGGAAGCTGGGGGGCTGCCTGACCTGGTGGGTGCTGGGAGAAAAGGGCCGCATGTGACAGGTGCTCAGGAAGTGAGCTCTGAGTCCTCAGGAGGCTGCCTGCCAGGGTTCAGGGTCCGCTGAAGCCACACCCATGTGCCCTCTGAGTCCTGCTCCAGCATTTGCCCCTCGCGGTACCCTCCACCGCAGGCTGAGAGTACCAGATTTGGGCCCAGAGGCCTGGAGTTGGAAGAGCCCTTATGGTCCCCCAGCCTCACTTTGTGCCTCTGTATGAAATGGGCGGGATGACCTAATTCCATTTGTGGAGCCTGAGACTGAGCAAGGTCCGGCATGAGAGGGTGCTCTGATGTACAGGCGAATGCGACTGGCCCGCACTCATCCAGTGCCCAGAGCGTGCTGGGTGCGGGCCATCTGGGCCCATCTCAGAGTCCTTTTGGCACTTCTTGGGAGAGGCCCTGTTACTGCCTCCATTTTCCTGCCTTGGGCTGCTACCCCTGGGTCTCCTGAGGGCAGAGTCTGTCTGATGTGTTTCTCTTTCCAGAACAGAGCCCAGGGTTGGGTACAAAGCTGATGCACAGTTGTTGTTTCTTGGGTGAATGAATGATTGGATGCAGGAGGATGGGGGAGGCTTTGGGGGACTGGGTCTCTGCCAAATTGTGTTGCCTTGCTCTTCGCAGGCCCGGCCCTGAGAGTGGCTCTGAGCAGCTGGCTGCTCTGGAGCAGAAACTCCATTGTCTGGAGCAGGAGAAAATGGAGATGAGCCAGAAACTCCAAGGTACAGGGGAACCAGATAGGCTGTGGGTGCGGGTCTGACCCAGGGCTGCTGCTGCCGACGGCTACTCACCCGTGGGTGTCCTCACTGCAGAAGCCCTGCAGAGCCCCTCAGACCACCGGGAGCTAGAGCAGCTTCGGAAAGAGGTGCAGACCCTACAGGACAGGCTGGCAGGTATTCGCCCCACCCACCGCCCCTTTTCTTCCTCCTACCCTCACCCTGGTGGCTAAGCTGCTTTCCCAGCATACCTGAATTCAACCTGGGTTCCGATCCTGCCCGTTCTGTATGTGTTGTGTAGTCTTAGAGAAATAGCTTAAACTCTGAGCCTGCATATAGAAAATAAGCCAAGGAGACCCACCGCCCAGACTATGGCAAGGGTTCCTTGAGATACCACATGTGGAGTGCCCCCTGGCTTAGGTGGTCAGTATGTGTGGGTCTCAGTGACAATTCCCGGCAGAGATGCTGAAGAACAACAAGGCCCCCTTGTCCCAGATGGATGGGCCTCCTGCTGGTAGCCCAGGCCAGGCCAGTGACCTACAGCAGGAGAGAGACCGACTCCTACAGGTGAGGGCCTGGTGAGGTGGGGGTGGCCCAGGGCTCCATGCTAAGGAAGTCCATATCCTGACCCATGCTGTGCCCTCCCCACCCTGTCCCCCAGGAGCTGGCTGAGGCTAAGGCCAGGCTTCAGGTGCAGAAGCAAGACCTGTGCAGAGCCCAGGGGGGGCAGGAGGAGCTGCTCCACAGGCTACAGGAGGCCCAGGAGAGAGAGGTGGCCATGGCCAGCCAGACGCAGGCCCTGAGCTCCCAGCTGGAGGCAACCCAAGATGCCAGGAGGGAGGTGAGTGATGGAGAGGGTCGGGGACAGCAGCAGATCCCTGCCCCCTGCCCCTCAGTGTGACTGGAGGAAGGCTGGGGAGCTTGGGGTGAGGTGCTAAGAACACTTTGCACCTGCCACTGTGGCTGACAGGCCTGAGCAAGGGGATGACGTTTCAGGTGGGGTGGGCCAGGGATTCACCACCCCCACTCCAGCTGGGACTGGCAGAGCCTGAGAGTCTGCATGTAGCAAGGCGGGGCAGAGGGTTAGCGTGAACTAGGTCAGTACGGACTGCCTCTGTATCTATCACAGCTGCAGGCCCAGGTGGCCACCCTGAACCGGGAGGTGACACAACTCCGGAGACAGCAGCAGCGAAGCCTTGAGAAGGAGTCTTCCCAGGTCAAGGTAGTGAGGTCTTACCCCTGCCAGTGGCACCTCCCTTGGCCTGAGCCACTCAGGGCCCTCAGGGCCAGGCCTGTGTTGCAGGGGTAAGGTGGGTCATGGCTCCTCAGGCCCTTCCCTGCCTTCTCTCCACGTCCTCAAGACTGTGCACACCACTTCGGAGACCAATGGAACAGGATCACCAGAGAGGCCACAGGAAGCCCGGCTGAGGAAGGAGGTGGCTGCCCTGTGTGTGCAGCTGGAGCAGGCCCAGCGCCATGGGTGAGCTGGGCAGCTGGGGCCGTGGATTGGGTGTGGGCCTGAGCTGGGGGTCACCTGGTTATCTGCTCTTCTCCAGGCTGAGTGGGAAGGAGGAGGTTCTGCACCAGCTACAGGAGGAGAACCGGCGGCTGAGCCAGGAGCAGGAGCGGGTGAGCAGGGCAGATGGAGGGCAGAATAGGCAGGCAGGCAGTGGGGCAGGTAGGGAGCCGGTGGGGTGGGTGGCCAGAGCCCCAGGGCAGGCTGTCTCTCCTGCCCTGGAGTACTCACAGCTGGCGGGCCGCTGTAACAGGTGGACAAGAGTGGACACACACGGGATCCAGGGGTGCTGGGGCCCCTGGGGACTGACCCCACCTTCCCTCCTGGCCCACAGCTGGTGCAAGAGCTGGAGCAGGAACAGCAGAGCAAGCAGCAGCTGGAGGGCGAGCGGCGGGAGACGGAGAGCAACTGGGAGGCCCAGATCACCGATATCCTCAGCTGGTGGGTACTGGCTAGGCGCTGCGGGCCAGCTCAGCGGGGGCCGAGAGCCCAGCCCATGACCCTGAGCTCCCTTCCCAATCAGGGTGAATGACGAGAAGGTCTCAAGAGGCTACCTGCAGGCCCTGGCCACCAAGATGGCCGAGGAGCTGGAGTCCCTGCGGAACGTGGGCACCCAGACTCTCCCTGCCCGGCCTCTGGTGGGTCCTTGGAGACTCCCTCAGGGGAGGGGGTGCCTATAGCTTCATTTTGCAGATGGGAACACAACTCACAGATCAGTGACTTGCCTAAGCTCACAGCAAGTCTGGTAGAGCTGGGCTTTGAGTCTGGTCAGGTGGCATGGGCAGTGGTGTGCTCTGATGGCCTCTGAGACAGCCAGGCTCCCCCTGCCCGCCAGGACCACCAGTGGAAGGCACGGCGGCTGCAGAAGATGGAGGCCTCGGCCAGGCTGGAGCTGCAGTCGGCGCTGGAGGCTGAGATCCGGGCCAAGCAGAGCCTGCAAGAGCGGCTGACACAGGTGCAGGAGGCCCAGCTGCGGGCTGAGAGGTGAGACCAGGGGCAGGCATTGATGAGGGGGCCTGGGACCCTGCAAAGGCCTGTGGTGAGCCCCCCCGGTTCCCCCTCAGCCATCTGCAGGAGGCCAAGAAGCAGAACCAGAGCCTGCAGCAGGAGCTGGCTGCACTGCGGGACGAGCTTCGGGCCCACGGGCCAGGGGGTGAGTGGCCGTCTGTGTGCCTGTCCTGAAGAGAGCCCCAGATTCCAGCATCTGTTACCCAGTGCTTACTGAGCACTTGGTGTATACCAGTCCCCCCACCCCAGCCTGTGGTCATTTCCCCATTTCACGGAGGTGAACACTGAGGCCCCTGCTGGGCCCTGGTTCCTCGGGAAAGGTGTTGGGCTGGGTAACCAGTGCCCCATGCTCTCTTTTTGCAGACGCTAAGGCCTCAAACTCCCTGATTCCCTTCCTGTCTTTCCGGAGCCCAGAGGTAAGAACCAGGTACAGGCACGGGTTGGGGAAGAGTCCTGGGGAGAGGCACAAGGGCCTTGACTTTGCCCCCGTCTCAATCCCCAGAAAGAATCTGCCAAGGATCCTGGCAACTCAGGAGAGGCCCCGAGGTCTGGGGTGGAGCTGGAGCTTAGGTCGGAGGGCCGCCGCAGCCTACGCCGGAGGGTGAGGACGGCAGGGTCACGGCTGGGGACGGGGGCTGGAACCAGCCTACCTTCCACTTCGGCCCCTCACCTGTTTGCTCACCCTGTCCACAGGCTGTGTTCCCCAGAGTGTCTGCTGCCACCGCAGCCCCTGCAGAAGGTCCTCCTGCAAAGGTCAGTGCCTGGGGAGGTGGAGCAGGGTGGGGGCACCAAGCCATTCTGCCAGGTTTCCAAGGACCTGCTCAGGTTTCTGCGTGCATCGTGGCCAGCAGACCACGTGAGGGGCCGTGGTGGCAGTGAGTTTGAGTGCTGGAGCTCAGAGTTCATACAGCCACCTGGCTCATTTCCTGGTCCCACCTGACACTTTAGGGTGGCCTCTGGGGTGGGGTGCAGGGCCCTGGGCAGCCGAGGTCAGGCATGGGTAATGGACACATCCCCCCTCCCCAGCCTGGCTCACACATGCTGCGTCTCTGGAGCTTCCCGTCTCCTACCAAGTGTCTCCACTGCACGTCGCTGATGCTGGGCCTGGGCCGCCAGGGCCTGGGCTGTGACGGTGAGCCGCGCACCCTGCCCGCACCCCCATCTCTCATGCACCAAGCACAGCCCTAGGTGGGAGGAATGAGAATGGCCCTGAACCTGACGCACCATGTTGTTTATCAGCCCAGCCCACTGCTGGGTTTTTCTTTGTTTTCTCACTTGACGGGGAATTGGTGACCGTTCAGGTGCTCCCATGGCCTCAGGGAAGCTGGGGCTGGGAATGCCCAGAGTCCTGGTCCTGGGCCGTCCCCACCCAGCCTCACACCATCTGCTTCTTCCACTTTCCCCACAGTCTGCGGCTACTTCTGTCACTCGACTTGTGCCCCACAGGCTCCGCCCTGCCCCGTGTCCCCCGACCTCCTCCACATGGCCCTGGGAGTGCACCCTGAAACAGGCAGGGGCACTGCCTACGAGGGCTTCCTGTCGGTGAGCTGAGGCTGGATGGGGATGTGTGTAGGCCGGCTGAGCCTGGCAGGCCCTCCCATGCCTGCCTTCCCCATAGGTGCCACGGCCCTCTGGCGTCCGGCGGGGCTGGCAGCGAGTGTTCGCAACCCTCAGTGACTCGCGCCTGCTGCTATTTGATGCCCCTGACCCACGGCTCAGCCCAGCCAATGGGGCCCTCCTGCAGGTGCTGGATCTGAGGTGGGTGCCAGGCAGTGACACGGGACAAGGGATGAGTGGGTTAGGAGGGCAGCCAGGGGCAGTGTGACCCCTGACCTGCTCCATGAACCTCCCAGGGACCCCCAGTTCTCGGCCACCCCTGTCCTGGCCTCTGATGTTATCCACGCCCCATCCAAGGACCTGCCACGCATCTTTAGGGTGAGTGCCTGGGGCCGGATGGGCTGGGCCACCATCTGTCTCCCCATTGGCACCACTCCAGCCACCTTCCTCCATCTCCATGGCTGCCCTCTTCATCCTGACCCCTTCCCTCCACACAAACAGCTGCAGGAGCCTCCCTCTTGCACCACAGTGAGCTTTTCATCTGCGAAGCTGGCTGTGCCCTGCCTTGTTTAGGACCTTTCTGTGGCTCCGCATTGCCCCCAGAGTGCTCCTGACAGTGACCTTGAGGCCCCACCTTTCTGCCCTGCAGGCCTCGCCAGCTTCTCCCTGGAGCCTCTCTGCCCTGCACCACCTTGTTCTCTCAAGCCCCGAAAATGCCCTGTGACCATGGACCTTTTCACATTCTGTTCCCTCTGTTCAGCCTCCTGCCAGGCCTCCAGCTCCTCCCAACCTCAGTCATTCCTGGTTACTCTGCTTATTCCCCAGGCTCCAGCAGTGTCTTTCTCTGGGAGGTTATGTTCCATCACTTAGCCTGGTCAGGGGGCCCTGCTCTGTCCCGTCCTGTCCCTATGACAGCAGTTGCCCTTGTGCTTGTCTGACCACCCTGTCTTGCTCGTCACCTGCTTTAAGACAGCTCCCAGCACTGCACCTGGTGGGCTCACGTCAGCTTGGGGAGAGGGAAGGCAGGAAGGATGGCTGGCTTCAGCCTGGGTCCTTATCCACAGGTGACGGCGTCCCAGCTGACAGTGCCACCAGCCACATGCACCGTGCTGCTGCTGGCGGAGAGCGCGGATGAGCGGGAGCGCTGGCTGCAGGTGCTGGGTGAGCTGCAGCGGCTGCTGCAGGATGCACAGCCGAGGCCCCGGCTTGTATACACTCTCAAGGAGGCCTATGACAATGGGCTGCCGCTGCTGCCCCATGCGCTCTGCGCTGCCATCATTGGTGAGTCTCATACCAGGGGCACTTCCCAGGGCAGGCCTGGGGGAGGAGTCCTGCCTGTAGGAATGGTGCTGGCCAGACACAGTCATGAGGGCCCATGTCACTTCTCAGTCCCCGCAGCCATGAGCTGTGGACACTCTGCTTTGCACACGTGTCCTTCTCCACCCTCCCCTGGGCATGGTTGTGCAGGCAGCCCAGGCTGGACTGGAGGCCTGCTTTCTGCCACACCATTTCTGTGCCTTGGTTTCTGCTTTTGTAAAAAAATCTCAAGTGAATAAAAAGAGCAGAGGCTTTACTAAGAGACAAACAAGGGGTCTAGGCCAGGCTCTCTTAGCAGCAGCAGCTGGCCCAGGAAGGGGGCTGGGTGTGGCGAAGCCTCCCACCATCCCTTGCGGGACTGCTGCTTCAGCCAGGAGCCTGGTGCTCAGCAGGGCCTCCGTAACCAGCAGCTGGGCTAGAAGCAAGGCAGCTGTGGTCCTTGGCTTCTTCCAGCAGCCTGGGCCCTGAGCCAACCCTCCCTGGTGAGCTGGCACCTCTCCCTGCAGTCCCTCAGGGCGGGAGCCACAGGAGAGACTGCACGGGTCCTCCAGTCTCCTGCATTCGTCAGGAGCCAGAGGATGGGGGCTTTCCTGAGCCGGGATTGCTGTGAGCTTAACACCCACCTGCATTGGTTCATCTCCTCACAGCTTCACAGCAGCTCTGGTACCACTATTGTCTCCACTTTACAAAGGGGAAACCAAGGTGATACGATTTACCCAAAAGCCCAAGCTCAGGGTGTGGGGCCTCTTGCCCTGCCCCTATGGCCTTTCCCCATTACAGCCAGTCCAGACTCTGGGAGAGAAGGGTACAGTGATACAGGGGCAGCAGGGACACCCCCATATCGTCAGGGAAACTGAGTCTCTGCAAGGACACACAGACTGCCAGTTTCCTGCAGCTGGAGGGTCTCTAACACCTGACCCTCCCCTCTCTCTGCCAGACCAGGAACGACTTGCTCTGGGCACTGAGGAAGGACTGTTTGTGATTCACCTGCACAGCAATGGTATGTGGCAGGCTGGGCTATGGCAGACCTGGGTAGGGCCATCCCAGGGGATGGAGGAGGATGGGCACTGGACTGCCCACCTGCCTATCACTGACACTTTTCCTTGCCCATCCCACAGACATCTTCCAGGTGGGCGAGTGCCGGCGGGTGCAGCGGCTGGCCATGGTCCCCACTGCAGGCCTTCTGGTCGTGCTGTGCGGTCGAGGCCCCAGCGTGCGCCTCTTCACCATGGCTGCACTGGAGAACATAGAGGTGGCAGGCACCAAGATCCCTGAGTCTCGAGGCTGCCAGACACTGGCAGCCGGACGCATCCTTCAGGCCCGCACCCCTGTGCTCTGTATGGCCATTAAGCGCCAGGTGCTCTGCTACCAGCTGGGTCCAGGCCCAGGGCCCTGGCAGCACCGCATCCGCGAGCTGCAAGCACCTGCGCCTGTGCAGAGCCTGGGGCTGCTGGGCGACCGGCTGTGCGTGGGCGCAGCCGGGGCCTTCCTGCTCTACCCGCTGCTTAATGAGGCTGCACCGTTGGTGCTGGGGACTGGTCTGGTACCTGAGGATCTGCCACCATCTCGAGGGGGCTTGGGTGAGGCACTCGGCGCCGTGGAGGTCAGCCTTAGTGAGTTCCTGCTGCTCTTCACCACTGCCGGGGTCTACGTGGACAGTGCGGGCCGCAAGTCTCGCATCCCTGAGCTACTGTGGCCAGCAGCACCCACAGGCTGGGGTAAGGCCTGTGGAGAGCCAGGCTGGGTGGTGCCAGGCACCTGCAGTGTATCCCACATGACAAGAGGAAGACAGGATCCTGCCCGAACTCCTGAGCTTGGCATTGGAGGCCAGTGTTACCCTCCCGCCTGACCACACTCTACTCGCCCTCGGGGCTCACATGGGTCTGCTTCTCCCATGCTTTTGCTCATGCTCATCCCCCTGCCTAGACTGCTCTTTTTTTGTAACTAGCAAACTTAACCAAGTCCAGCCCCAATCCCAGTCAGGGCCTAGAGCTGGCAGGCCCTCCACAGACGGCCACTGTGATCGCTATCACTGTCAGTCCTGCCGTCATGCTCCACGCCCTTCCTTCCTCCATCATTGGTCCTTTGTTCCTTTTTGCTCCTCTACCTCTTTGTTCAAACCTCTGCCCTGGCTCTTAGCACCTTGGAATGACTGGTTTGGCACGCTGGAGGCCTGCAGAATGGGCTGGGCTGGTTTCTTCATCACATCCAGTGCCCAGCCCAGACAAGTACACCCCAGGGGCTTATGAATGTTTGGAGGAATGAATGAACGAATGAACGAAAGGGTCAGTGGGGGATCCACATTCCCAAACACAGGTAATAACTGGTGTGGTGGCATATGGGCTGGAAGAGAGGGATAGAGCTCCCTTCATGAGCAGTGGTTCTTCTGGGGTGGGGCCTGTAGCTTGGGTGTAGCACAGACATTCAGGATGTAGGCGTTGGACCCAGACTGCCCGGGGCCAGTTTCCAGCTCTCAATCACCACTGGGTGACCTTGGCCATTACTTAGCTCTGGGGTTTCCATTCCCTCATTTCTAAGTTAGAGGTGATAGTGCTACCTGCCCAGAGTTGTTTGAGAATCAAAGGAGGGAAACTATGCAGAGTGGTTAGAACTATGCCTGGCATGGTACATAGCTAGCTGCTCCATGATTTTATCTCCCATTGGTTATGGAAGTTGGGTGGGGCAGCTGGAAGGACCTTTGGCTGGGCATGGAAGTTACTGTGTTGTGGCAGGGCACAGGGTGTTCCCTTGATACAGAGGGGGAAGCAAGCCCAGAGGGGAGCCTGGGGCTGCACAACACAGGCAGTTTCCCATCCTGCAGGTTACGCAGCCCCCTACCTGACAGTGTTCAGCGAGAACTCCATTGATGTATTTGATGTAAGGAAAGCAGAATGGGTCCAGACGGTGCCACTCAAGAAGGTGAGGGCCCGCCAAGATCCCGGGGTCTGGACTGGGGTGCAGTAGGGTTCCATGGCGTGACCTCTGTGCCTGCTGCCTCAGGTGCGACCCCTAAACCCAGAGGGCTCCCTGTTCCTCTATGGCACGGAGAAGGTCCGCCTGACCTACCTCAGGAACCTGCTGGCAGGTGAGGGAGTGTGCGCGTGTGTGTGTGTGCACGCTGGCGTGCATCCACCTATGCACCCGGGTGTGTGACCCTGAGTTCCAGCTGACGGGCCCTGGAGACTTTTGAGCACCGCCCAGCTTTCTGCTTCTCCCACAGAGAAGGACGAGTTCGACATCCCTGACCTCACCGACAACAGCTGGCGCCAGCTGTTCCGCACCAAGAGCAAGCGCCGCTTCTTCTTCCGGCTGTCTGAGGAGCAGCGGCAGCAGCGGCGCAGGTGCGCGTGCGCGGCGCGGCCGCTGGGCGGGGCTCCCTGCTCGGCGCGGGACGAGCCCGGGTGGAGAGCCGGGAGGCCTCACCTCGGTGCCCGCCTTCAACGACCCCTTCGCCCGCAGGGAGATGCTGAAGGACCCTTTTGTGCGCTCCAAGCTCATCTCACCACCCACCAACTTCAATCACCTGGTACACGTGGGCCCTACCGACGGGAAGCCCAGGGCCAGGGACCTGTCTCAGGTGATCCTCCAGAGCCAATCACAAGCTTCCCTGGTGAGGCGGAGCCAATCATGGGCCTCTGCTTACCTGGACCCGGGACCTCCTCTGGTCCCCGTTCGGGGCTGAGTACGGTTTGTACTGGTCTGTTGTGCTGGTTGCAGCCCATCCGCACTGTCCCCTGTGCCCAGGCTCCGGAAGGGAAGGGCCGAAGCGCCCGCAGCTCCGGCCCGCAGCGGCCCCACAGCTTCTCCGAGGCCCCAAGGCGCCCAGCCTCCATGGGCAGCGATGGGCTCGCTGGAGACGCAGACCCCAGTAAGGACAGCCCCATAGCCTCTACTGCCTACCCCAAGTTTCCACCCACTTTGAACCCGTCCGATCTGATCTTGGATTTCTGTCCCCTCGTTCTGTTCCTGGAGCAGTGAAGCGGAAGCCTTGGACATCTTTGTCCAACGAGTCGGTGTCCTGCTCCCAGGGATCTCTGAGCCCCGCAGCCTCCCTGATACAGGTGAGTCAGCGGGGGGAGAGGGGGTCTCCCTCATTCAGAGGTCAGGCAGTTCTGTGCTGGGCCCTGAGGCTGAACCAGTCCCAGCCCTGGGTCCTAAGAGGGGTGCACACTCATAAGCTGTCTCACCCACAGCAGGCCCCAGCAGAGGCCTGGAGGCAGATCATCCTAAGTGGGAATCTTGGCTGACTGTCCCAGCAGTGTGGCCACAGGCGAGGTTCCTAGCCTCCCTTGTATCACCTGTAAAGTGAAGTCTGATCAGGAGACCTGTATGAGTGATGATACCTCAACATAGTACTGGGCATGTGGGAGATGCCACAGAAGTGGCACTCTGGGGACTCTTAGCAGAGGCCCCAGCCAGTAGGCGAGGGGTCAGAGGAGGGAGCGATCCACTCTGGGGACAGGGGAAGACCTAAGGGGAACAGGGAAGTATTCCAGTCACCCTCCAGCCACGTCTTTAACTGCTACCCCTACTCCAGCCATATCAGGGCCCTGGGACTTGTCATGTTATTTCACACCTTCGGGCTCTTGCCCCTGCTGTTCCCCTACCCCCACCCCACTCCTGCTTTGAATGCCATTTCCTGACCTGAACCTGATTAATGTCCAGGCCACCGTCCAGACTCTGCACCAATATCACTTTCTGGCTGCCTGTTCAGGTGGTCACTGCCTCCCTGGGGTTGGCGCTACCTTCAGTGCCCCCCTTCCTCCACCCCATCCCTATCAATCCTGCTGTGCTGTGGTTTTCACTGGGTACCAGTCTTCCCTCTTCAACTGTGGGCTCCTTGATGGCGGGATGTCTTACTGCCGGGAGTGAAGTACCTCTGTTGATTGAATGGAGAACAGGATGAATGAACAAAGGGACTTTGACTTGGGCCCCAGGGTCAAGTAGGAGCTCCCCAGATTCTTCTCATGTACCCTCACCCCCACCTCACATCTGGTCTCCTCAAAGAGCCCTGCTAAGTGGGTGATGGTTCTGGGGAGACCCCTGGGAGGGGCTGGCCTGCTGAAGAAAGAGTCCTGCCCTCTTTTTTCCACTCTGACTTCCTTCTCTTTCCCCCCCAGGTCTCAGAACGGCCCCGGAGTCTCCCCCCAGCCCCTAAATCAGAGAGCTCCCCTTGACACCCTCTGGCAGGGCCCACCCCAATCCCAGGACTGAGGTTTGCGGGAGCAAACAGCTTAAGGAATGCCACACTCCGGCTGGTCCGGGATATGTGGAAATTTGGACTCGGAGGGGCTGGACTAGGCAGCAACTGGGAGGCTGGCCTGGGTTCCCAGGACTTGGGGCCTCACTCCCAGCCCCCATCTGTTTCTTTCCCTTCCGCTTCTAGCCCCGGGCTGTGCCCAACTGGAAACAGAGTGGCCCCCCTTGTGCCCTAGGGGCCCCTCTGCTCTGATGTCCAGGGGTGACTGTGCCAAAGCTCTCATTTCCAGTGTCAAGCTCCAGGAGGCTTGTACATGAGAGGGTGAGGATGGAGAAGGGCCAGGTCCTGTGGAACAGTCTGGGGTCTTGGCTCTGGACTGTCCAGAACCCAGTAAGGCTAAGCTGGGGCATATTGCAGTTTCTTTTCCAAGTCAGGGTGGGAAAGAGAGGCTCTGATAAGAGGCAAGGAGGGGAGAGAAGGAGAGGGAAGCATGTAGGTGAAGGAGGGTGAGAGGCAAGTGAATGGAAGGAGGTGACAAAGCCATCCAGAGAAGGGGGGATAAAGGAGGAGCCACGAGGAGGAGGAGGGAGCACGAGCAGAGGGAGAACACAGTTGGGGTCCTTTCTGGGGATGAGTGGGCTGGGGACAGGGCAGGGCTCCATGAGCCAACTGACTTTGGCATCTAACCTGCCCAGGGGTGAGAGAGTTCCTAGACAGGGATGGCATGGGGAGGGTATTTATGAGGGTACTTGGTGGGAGGTGGGCACCCGACAGGGGCCACTGGAGGGTGTCTGGGTACACTCTGGCCCTTCCCAGAAAGGGGGATCCTTTTTCTCAAAGCTTCAACCAGCTGTGTATTAGGGGATCATAAGGGGCATTTTATTATTGATCACAGTCATTATTATTGTTATTATATTACTATTTTTATTAAACTTCCCCCTACTGATGAGTGGGGGACAAAATAAGTATTTATCTCCCTAAATGCCATAGTCCCGGGAGGGATCAACCCTGACGCTCTGTGAGGCAGTAAGAAACCAATAAAGACAACTTTGTAAGCTGCTGGCCTCTCCTGGATCTGTCTCCCGCGGTTCAGGAAATGGGAGGATCGGAGACAGAGGGGAGAGTGGGGCTATCAGGGGCAGTCAGAGACCAGGCTGTCTTCCTGGTTTTTCAGGAACTAGACGACATGTTCAAATGAGGGTAGATAAGGAGAGTCTAACAGCAAAGGGATGGTTTACAAAAGTGTGGGCAGCGGTAAGGGAACCCACCCAGGAGTGGCGGTGCCCCCTGAGCCCCAGCAATAGTGGGGGGCTGTTATACCACCAGGCCATGGGCAGAAAGAGGCTGTGGTGTGACCTGACAGGAGCTGTGGCTCTAAGAAGGACTTGGCCATGGCCCAGCAGGAAGGCAGCCCAGGAAATCATTTCCTCCACCTCACTCCACTCCCTCCCTCTGTCTTCTGCCTCCTTTTGTCCCAACCCAAGCACAGCCAGAGTTCGCTAGAGCTCAGTTACTGCAGCAGGCACAAGGCAGCCCTGGGGCCGCTGAGCAGGATGGAGCAGGGCAGAGGGGGATCTGGAGGGCACACAGAGGGTGCAGCACCCTGCTGCCCTATGCGAAGGGAGATCTGAGAGGGGTCTCACTTGTTCTTAGCTTCAGTGTCTCTGATTAGGCAGGACCTAGGCCTTGAGGTTGAGCTGGCTGAGAACAGAGGGTAAGGCCTGTGCCCTGGGGTCAGGGCAGACCAGGGGCGCCGATGGCTCTACCCTGAGAAAAGCACCAAAAAGGGACCCAGGTTGTGGATGGGGTTGGAGGGTATCGATGGAATTCCAGGGCCCAGTTAGGAGCTCAGCCTGGAGAATCAGACAACCTGGATTCTAATCTAGATGTGCCATGATGGGCAGGTTACCTGACCTCTCTAAGCCTCAGTTTCCCCATTTGTAAGTGGTGATCACGGGAGGTTCTGGTGAGACGAGTGCCTCTGGTCACTCAGTAAATGTGTGCTTTGCCTATAGAGATACAGAAGCCCAAAGAGGGCCCAGCAGGGACACTGAGAAGCCTCCTGCAAGCTAAGGCCTCCAGCCATCCTCACCAAACTGGAGAAATGGCTGTTTCCCCAATGCCCAGTAACGATTTTGCCAAAACATTTTCAGTTTTTAAAAATTAATTTTCTTGCAACATTTTATGTTGACAAATTACAAATGTATAGGAAGATGAACGTGAGCTCCCTGAATTCTTCACCGAGATTCACCAATTGCTAACACTTTGCTCCTCCGGCTTTACCTCCCTGTCTTTCCCTATGCATGCAGATACAGAGCAGTATTCTGCTGCCATCTGAAAGTAAGTTGAAGATATCTTGAACTGTGCACCCCAACATTTCCTAGGCCTCTCTTAAGACTTAAGGAGCCACCAGAAGCCACTGTTACTGTCTCAAGAGATTTAACATTAACACAAGCCCCCTTTTCTGTTGCCTATCTTGATATTAATGCTTTTTAAGGGTTCCAGGCCAGTTCTTTTATAGACTGACCTACAATTTATACTTGATGGTTTCTTCATTAAATTCAGATTTAGCTATTTTGTCAAGAATATGACATCGCTGAAGCTATTTTAAATTAATTTAGCTGCAATGATACACAATTTTTATTTTTGTAAAATAGAGTGAATTCCCCTTTGACTGCCTCCCCTCCCCCATAAGGTTGTGGCTGTCAGTGTGTTCCACGCATGCCCAGAGAGACTGGAGGACTGCACTCCCCCAGCCTCCTTCCTCCGTCAGTGGGCGTCAGGCAGGAGCCTCAGGAGGCTTTGTACCCATGGCGGCAGCTCTGCCCTCTGTGCCCTCACATGCTCAGCTGGCCCCTCCCCACCACTGCCAGACCATCAGAATTAGTTCTGCCCTTCCTCCATGTTGCTCAGTTTCACTGCAAGATACTCAAGCCGACTAGGGTCTCCATAGCTCTGGCCACCCCTTTTTCCGACTCTGTCTCCACCCTTAGCTCTGATGGCTGTCTACTGTACCCTCAGGAGGTGATGGTCCTTCTTCAGCAAAATCCCCCATGCCCTCACCCTCTTGCACGCAGTCCTTAACCCTCTGGCTCTAGCAGACAGTTTGCCCTCCCTGAGGTCATTACTGCTCCCCTCCTTGTGCCCCACAGACCTTCACCATCCCTCCAGCCACCAGCCTGGAGGCGGGAGGGGTCCTTGAGCCTCATTGCCCCTTACAGACACCCTCCTCCTTTCTCCTTTTGCTCAGGTTTGAACTCAAGTTACCAGCTTATACCACCTGCCTTGTTTCTGACATCTCCCAACCCCCCATGGATCACTCATTTCTTGATAATTCTAGCTCCCCTGCTTGCTGTCACTCTCCCCATCCTTTTCCAGTTTTAACTCTTAGAGACCATATACATGTGGATGATCCAACTGCCAAGCCTCTCAGTTCTTTGAACCCTCCTCCCCCATGATCTTGTCCTCCATCCATCCTGCTTCAGCCACTCCTTCCTTACGACCGTGCCAGGGAGCAGCAGCATCCCATATGGGAGCCCCCGGCCGTGTGGCTACTGAGCACTTGAAATGTGACTAGTCCGAATTGAGATGTGCTGTGAGTATAAAATACATACCAGATGTCAAAGACTTCGTGTGGATAAAGTATAAATCATCATTAATAATTTTTCTATTGATTACAAGAAATAAAATTCGGATATACTTCCAATTAATCTCACTGTGTCTTTTACTTCTGTAAATGTAGCTACTAGAAATGGTTCTTACACATGCAGCTCGCATTAGGTTTCTACTGGAAGCACTGCTCTACACCTTTTCATTGCCAATAAGGACAACCTTCTCCCCACAATTTCAATCTCAAGTATCCCACTCTTTAACCAACACTCCTATCATGTCAGCTCTCTCTAGCACCCCAACTCCAATATACTTTGACCCCTACTGGAACCTGACAGCCCACTGCTTTTGCGCCCTCTTAGGTCCTTATGTCCCTCCTCGCACAGCCTAAATTCCAGGTCACGCCTTTTCATAAATACATTTATTTATTCAGCAAATACTTGTTGAACACCAGCTGTGTGCCAGACACCATTCTAGGCACATGGGACATATCAGTGAACAAAACAGACACATTCCCTGCCCTGTGGAGCTTAGATTTTGGTGGTAGGAGATGAACAATAAAATAAGTAAATTATATGCTGGGATAGTGGTTCTTGACTGGGGGCAATTTTGTCCCCCCCCAAGCAGACATTTGGCAATGTCTGGAGATATTTCTAGTCACACCGTGGGGAGGAGTGCTGCCAGCATCGAGTTGGTAGAAGCCACGGACACTGCTAAACCTCTTACAGTGCACAGGTCAGCTCCCCACCACACAGAATTATCCAGCCCTAAATGCCAATAGTGCCAAGGCCGAGAAACCGCGGTGTAGAAGGCGTTAATGCTTTAGGAGGGGACAAAAGATAGAGTAGGGTGGAGGGATTGAAAGTGGGATCTGGTTTGCAGAGTGGTTTTAAGTAGGCTGGTCAGCTCTGGGTCAGCCTCATTGAGAAGGTGACATTTGAGCAAAGGTGTGAAGGAGGGAGGGAGGGAGGGAGGATGACCATCCAGACTCCCTATTTCACTGAAAAAAATGAAGTGCCCACCACGTGTGTCCCTGTATTGTGTCTTCTCTCCAGTCATCGAGGATAGACTGTTCATGCCCTAGCAAAGGCCGGACCTGCCACTCAGGAACTCCTATTCTTCTGCTGGTTCAAGGCCATCAGTCCTGCAATCCTCTCTTTGACAGCAACCTACTTCTCCCCCTGGCTGCCATCTTATTTTTCTCCTTCCCTTTGCTGCAAAGCGCTCTGAAAGAGTTGTGTATTATCATTATCTCCATTTTCTTCCCTCCCATTTCTCCTGAGCCCAAGACCTTTGGGCTTTTGCTCCCAAACTGCTCTTAATGTGGTCACAAGGGATTCCCACAGAGCCAGATCCAGTCAGTTCTGGGTGCTCAGCTTGCTGACTTATGAGCAGCATCTGACACCGTTAGTCAGGCCTCTGCCTTGGTACGTGGTCATCTGCACCAGATTCACGTCTGGCTTTGCTTCCCATCTCCTGCTGATCCCTCTCAGACTCCTTGGCTGTCCCAACCTCTACACAAAGGAGTACCCCAGAACTCAGTCCTCAGTGCCCTCCTCCCCATACACCCTTCACCCAGCTTCCCCTAATGTTAAAATTTTACACAACCATGGAGCAGTCATCAAACCTAATTGATGAAAATTATGAATGAAGCTATAGACTTTATTTGAATTTCACAATTAGAGCTTCCAGGTGCCCAAAACTTGAATGGTTTGGTTTTAAAACTGGAAGTCCAATATTCCTGAAGTTCCCCCAGTCCTGGGAAAACTGGGACGGTCACCAGGTGGTTACCAGGCCACCCTAATACCAGTTTTTCTGCTGTCCTTTCTCTGTCTCAGGATTCAATCCAGAACATCACATTGCATTTAGTTGTCCTGTCCCCTTTGTCTCTTCTAATCGGCAACACTTTCTGTCTTTACTTGTCTTTCATGACGTTGACATGTTTGAGGAGTATTGGTGAGGTATTTTGTCCCTCAGATTGGGCTTGCCGTATATTTTCTCGTGATTAAACTAGGCTTATGGATTTTTGGGAGAAAAAAACCCACATTGGTGAAACAGAACAGGAATTTGATCTGTTTTAGTCATTGCTATATGTCTAGTGCCTAGGACAGTGTGCCTGGCCCATCGTAGGCACCAAAAATCTGGTTATTGAATAAAGGAATGACTGACTGACTGTAGAAATTTAGTATTGTTTAATGTTTTAAAATGTTATTAATATAAATCTCATACATTTTGTTCTGAAGCTTTTTTCCTTCAACAGTATACCTGAAGATCTATCTATTTTACGATGCCATAGAAATACTTCACTCTTCTTTTAACCTATTATAATTAAGTACGATGATTCTTTAGATGTGCCTCTTGGCATATGTGTTAGATTTTCTCATGGGCTGAATAGAAGAATGCTAGACGCAGGCAGGCAGTTTTACATATTAATGAATACTGATAAGTAC